AGGGCGCGTAGAACAAATTTGTTGTCGCGATGCATAACGACAATTGTGGCCTTTAAACGCCGTCCTCGCGGCAACGCTTTGGCGTTAGACCAGTTTGACGGTTCTAGTGCGGCGCCGGGGTAGCGGGTCGATGCTAGCGCGCTGAGCCGTGGCTTATTGCGCCGTTCAAAGGGTTCAAGGCTGTTCAACTTGAGTGGGCAGCACTGTGGCGGGATTAGAACCGGGAACCGGGCCGGGATTAGTGATTAAGCAGGATTACCCCCCAGCGGCCCCGACGCACAGTCGGCCAGAAGACCGATGGAGGTGGTCAAAATTCTAGACGCGTTTTGAGCTCCAGAGTCGCTAAGCAGGACTCGAATCGAGCTTGTGACTCCACCAATGATTCCTCGTTCGGAGAGCAATCCATTGGTGGGTACACATGTTAGGTTCGAGTCCCATTTAGCGGCTCTGAAAGCTCAAAACGGGTCCGGGATTTTGACCGCCTCCCACCGGCCTTCTGGCCCACTGTTGCACTTAGTGGCCAGATTACTGGTAACGCCGAAATGGGAGCAAGGGTGTGCTGCTGCAGCACGCCGCGCGACGTTCGTCCGCCTCGACATGCACGCCGTCAGGGTGGTCGGCCTCCGCGGCCTGCCGCGTGGTGGTCGCGCCAAGACGTGCGTCCGCGCGCCAGATGTTTGTTTGTATTGTCTCATTGCCCCGGCCGTCTCCACCCCCTGAGCGAAGCTTCTTTTGGCAGTCGCGGCTCATTTTGCGCGTCGCGGTGTGAATGTGGGCGCAAAGGGGGAGGGGCAACCTCGAGAATAAAACGGAACGCACCCCCGGTGTACAGTCAGCGCCGTAGCGTTTGACCGTAAACGACCACGGTCCTGGGGAGCATGCGGCAGCGGCGGCAGCGGCGGCAGCGGCGGCAGCACACGTCCGCGTCTTTCACGCGGCGGACTACTTAGCGTCGCCTCGCGTCGCCTGTCCGCGGTACACTGCCTGCAAAAGGCGGCCGCCCTCCCTCACGCTCCACTTCGGCGGATGCGCGTCAAATCGGCGAATCAATGAGAAAGGTTCTCGCTGCCGACGCCGGGAAGTGGGCGTGGCCGGCGTGGCCGGCGTGCCGGTTGGCAACCTCTGCGCCGGGCTGCGCCGGGCTGCCGGGACGGATATAGGGTTGCCAACCGCCGCCACCGCCGCGATGCACCAATTTCGGCGAGTGAAACAAAACGGCGTCTCATTCACGTCGCCAATCAATAACGATCTGCGAGACCGTCGGTGACGTCATCGGCCGCAAAGCGGGTGGGCCGGGCGGGGCTGGTGAAGCCCGGCAAGGGCCGTAGTGGCGCAGGGCGCGCAGAGCTTACAGTGGCGCCGCCCTGGAGGTCAATGAGTCACTCCGCGTCATACCGGCTTGCTGTTGCTCTGCAGCGTTGCCCCGTCTCTCTCGCTCGCCTACGGCGTGCCGCGTGGGTGCGAGCGAGACAGAGCGGCGTCAACCGCTCCGACCGGGTTCGCTATGAAAAATTTACGCGAAGCCGGGGGAAAATTCAGACGCTGACGCCAGCTAACGCGCCGGCCTGGCGAGGCGGCGGAGATGCTGTGCGAGGGGCTTTAGCAGCGCAGCAGCAAAGAAAGGCGTGGTGGGAGAGAGAGGAGGGGGAGGGGGAAGGGCCCGCGGAGGGCGGGGGTCAAGCTGGTCGGGGCAACGTCCCAACTCGAGCCCTCTCCCCACTCCTCCCCGCCGACGGCCCCGATCTGCCCGTCTGTCGCGAAATATTCCACCCCTCCTCCCCCACCCTCTTCCTCTCCACCTGTCACCCTGCCGTGCCGTGCCCTGCCCTGCCCTGCCCGGCGTCCTTAAAACGGAAATAATTCACCATCCTCCCGGAAGATGACGCGACGCGACACACCCCCGCCTCGTCGTCATCGTGGTGCCGGTGGCAACCACGTCGGTCCGCCTCGCTTTCGCTATCTCACTGCGCCTCGTGGTGTAGCGACGCGTTCGCTCGTGAGCGGTCACGTCTCCCTGTGACGCCAGCAGCACGGCGAAAATTACCAAATGAACCGCACAAGGGCGCTCCGGCCCACTATTTGAATGTGCGCCGGCCGGTGCTGCGACAGCGTGCCGCCGCGTTCTGCTTGGCAGTGTCGTCGAGGGCAACCCCGAGCCGCAGCCTCGCAGCCTGCACCTCGAGGAAAGACAGATCGTCCCCGCGGCCGCCTACACCGCTAAAGAGCCTCGCGCGAATAGGAACGCAGTTTCATCTCGGTGGTTCTTCTTTCTCCCCTAGGTCCAGCTTCCGCTTCCCCTCCCCCGTGGGCAGTCTAGCCGCCGGCGCGCAGCAGTGCCTGGCAGTGCCCACTCAACGGGTTCCGCCTCCGAAATAAATAGTTGAACGGCGTTGTTGTCTCGACGGGCCGCGGCCCGGTGACGTCACGACCACGTGCCGAGGTGCCGGGCGGGGGTGGTGGGGGGGGGACGACTCGTTTGCCCGTGGGACCGACCGGCCCCCTGCCCCCTGCCCCCTGGGGCCTACCCCCAGCCCAGCACGCACACAGAGCACAGCGTAGCCGCTCACCCGCAAAGGTGCAGACGAATAAAAGCCTCCACCACTAATTAGACTCATTCACTTTTCCGGTCAATTTTTTTTTAAAAAGCCAGTGCACTGTTATATTGCCACTTTTTCCCTTTAAGAATGACAGGGCAGTTCATCGCCTAGCCGGATCAAGGTATCCGGTTACCGCCTCGCCAAAATCGCCATGGCTGTGATAATCGCTTCCAAGCGCTATCTAACAATCCGAGTCACGGCTCACTGCGCTCGCTCACATGTCCTTTCCAATTATTAATTGTTTTTTTTTTTTTAATGGAGTGACGACGTACGAGTCCGCGGCCACGCCACCGCGCGTGCCGCTGCGCTAGCCACTTTCCGCGACTGTTGAACACACTCCGGGCACGCCTCAAACTCTAGCCTCGCTCGGGGGCTTCGAGCTCCATTCCGTTCACTGCAAGCGCATTGGGGAAGACTACGCCGCTGCAATACTGCATGTGCTGTGCTGGCGACTGCGTGCCTTCGCCGCGCCTTTCAACCTTTAGAAAACAGCAGGGAGTTGTTTTTTTGGTCCGAGCGGCCGCAGCAACAGCAGGCCGGTGCGCTCACGCTGCGCTGCCGCACAGTGGGCCGAAGACCGGTGGAGGTGGCCAAAACTCTAGACGCGTTTTGAGCTCCAGAGTCGCTAAAATGGCCTCGAACCGAACGTGTGACCCCACCAATGGATGGCTCTCCGAATGAGGAATCCATTGGTGGGGTCACACGTTCGGTTTGAGTCCTGTTTAGCGACTCTGGAGCTCAAAACGCGTCTGGAGTTTTGGCCGCCTCCACCAGTCTTCCGGCCCACTGAGTGCCGGCGGGAAGCGGTGCAAACACGCCGTGGGATTGGATGTCGGCCGGCAGCCCGGCCAGCCCGCGACAACATGCACCACCGAGACGGCGGCCTTGACGTCCGTCCGCGACAGACTCTGGAGCGGCCGGAACTGCTCTAGCGCGACTCTGTCTCTCTCGCACTCATCCGCGGGCCATACCGTAGGCCGCGGGGGTGCGAGAGAGACAGAGCGACTGCTCTGCATTACCCTGCAGCAACCGCGATCGCGTCTTGCGTCATGCCGCGTCACTCCGCTCACTTGGGTCTCCCTCGCCTTCATGCACTGCATGCAGTGCACCGCTCGGCACCGCTGCATCGCCACCCACTCGGGGGACCAGAGCAGAGCGCGGCCCAGCGCGGCCCAGCGCGGCCCAGTGCGGCCACCAAAAGCCAGATTAGCCGCCGCCGGCCGAGAGAGATACAACGAATACAGTACGGACCGTGGTTCGGCCCTGCCGAGAAAATGGGTAGCACGTAGCCCATTCAGACTCTGTCCAGAGGTTCTCTCTCCCTCTCGCACCCGGACGCGACGTGGTGAGTGCGAGCGAGAAAGAGCCAGTGCCGGTCATTGCCATTCGCCGGTGGCGGCCTGCCTGGGCCTGCCTGTCACGCGGGGATCCTCGCCTCGACACTGACCCCGATAGCCGCCACCGCCGCCTCTACCGGCGGCTCCATTCTTAAGTAAATATAGCCCGCCCCGTCGCCGTCGCGGCGGAGGCGGAGGCGTGAGGCGTACGTGGCCGACGAGGCATACGCCTCATGCCTCCCGCGGCGCGCCGACCTGCCCCACCAGGCCGTGCTCCACGACGCCGTGCCCAGCCCCGGACAGGAGGGGACGCTGAGGCCTCCGTCGGGGGCCGCCGGCGATCGACGGGGTTGCTTTGATGCTTTGCTTTGGCCGTCGCGCTGTTGCCGCTAACAGTGCTCCGAGCGCCTGGCGGGCTCCGGGTAGGCAACCCGCGCGCACTGATGTGTTGCACCGCTCCGGCTGCCTACCTCGCAGGCGCCTCCAGGACCGCCACCCGAAAACGGAAACCCGAAGCGCGGCCGGGAAGGCCAGGAAGTGGGCCTCCCCGTCTAGCCTCGCGCCGGCCCCCCGCGTCGGCGATTCTCCGCCAAAACGCGAGACTCGCCGTCCCTGTCTCTCTCGCACCCGGCCGCCGAGGCCGTCGAGGCCGCCGAGGCAGCGGTGCGACGGAGAGCGACGACGCGGGCCTCTCGGGCGTCGCCGCACCGCCGCGCCACCGCGCCGCCGCTGTGCATCAGCTTGGTTCGCGAGTCCGCCACGCCCCGCCACGCCCCGCCACGCCCCGCCACGCCCCGCCCCACCGCGCCGCCACCGGCAGAGCCCTGGCGAGGAAGCGACGCGGACGGGACGGCCGGGACGGGCTGGTTGGTTTACTTCAGTTGTCAGCGGCCCGGTCCCGGCAAAGGTTCGGCTTCGGCTTCGCTCGGCAAGCTCGGCGCCTCTCTCTGTCTCCGTCTCTCTCGGCCTCGCGGCTCGCACGCCCACGGGGCCACGCGCACGTCGCACGCCGCACGCAGGCACGGTGCCGTCGCTCGCTCGCACTATTCGCAGTCGGTCGCTGTTCACTGTTCGCACCGCGCCGCGCCACGTGGGCCCCGCACCGCACCGGACCGCACCGGATCGCGAACCGGTCACGCGTCGAGCCGGACAGCCGCACCGACTATCGGCTAGCCTTGAAGCCGCTTGGCGTCGCCGCCGTTCGCTGTTTCCTGCTGCCTCCATGCTCCAGGCCGGCCAGGCCGCGACCCTCGCCATGCCCGCGATGCACAAGCCCTCCAGTTGACCGCAGCCTCCCTCCACGCCGGCTCGCTCTCTCTCCCTCTCTGGCGTGCAGTGATGTGTGAGTGTCACGGGTTCGACTGCCGCCGGGCTCCACGTTTTTTGTCCTCGGGAGGGCAGTGGCCTTAGCGACTTGCCTATCGGTGGGGAATGTTTGGCGGATTAGCGAGGATCATCGCGGAGATTGGCGAGCACATGGCGCAGCGCGCAGCGGCACGCGCACAGGCACCGCCGGCACCAGCCCCCACGAGTACAGCCACCACCAGCACCATCCCGCACAAGCACAGCCACCGCCAGCACCATCCCCCACGAGTACAGCCACCGCCAGCACCATCCCCCACGAGTGCAGGCACCGCCAACCTTCCCAACAGAGCCCCGAATAGCCAGCCAGTGCACAGCAGGCTCATTCTGTCGCTCTGTCTCTCTCGCTCTCGAGGGACGGCCCGTGGGGGTGCGAGAGAGACAGCGAAGAAACACTGCGGCATGCAGCCTCCTCGTTTGAATGGCGTGCTCCAGCAGGCCGACTGGCAGCCTTGCGTAACCGTGGTGGCCGAGCCAGCGGAGCGCCGCGTCCACCAAATCCTCACCTGCGAGCGCGCTGTCTCTCTCGCACCCCTTGCGGCCTGCGGGTACCTGCGGCACGCCCCGTGAGTGCGAGAGAGACAGAGCGGCACCCACGCGCCGCGCTTATCTCGACCGCGGCATCGAGACAACGTCGGCAACATCAGCTGACAGCAGCGACTGTACAGACGCGAAGACGCCGTGCGTGGCCGCCGTCTGCTGCTTGCCTGGACTGTCCTCTTGTCCTTTTCGGCCCTTTCGGGACTCGAACCATGGTCCTGCTCTGCTCGGACGCAACGGGGAGTCGGGGGAAGCACCCCGGCGGTCGCCCCGACCCACCCGCCCTGCCCCCGCCGCTGTGAAGTATGAGAAACTCGTCGGCCCCCACCCCCAGTCCCCCAGGGGCGTGCCCAGGGCATGCCGGTGCTCGTAAAAGTGTGCGGGTAATGACCACCGGGTTGGCTCCTAAACAGCGTCGGGGTTTTACTCGGATTCGGGGACCTTTCTCACTGCCTTACGTAACCACAACACGCAGTAGTGACCTTCAACGTCACTTACTCCTTTTGGAAAAAAGTATTTCAACAAAAATAAATAAAATTAAGTTATGACTGTTCGGCAAACGTAAATCCAGGGTTGTTTTTGGAACACCACGGGCGAAGTCGCGAAGCTGATTTGGCAGTGTAGCTTCCATGCGGCCGCAGTCGGTGGGGTCCAGCTGCTCCAGCTGTCAGGACCAGGTCCGCTCCCCGCCTCCGCTGCCTTCCCGCCGCCGCGTCGGTCTTGGCGGGTCTTGGTCGCGTTGTGGTGACGTACGTCCGTACGTCGGAAGGCGCGGGGCGCGTCGCGAAGCACGAAGCGCGAAGCACGAAGCGCGAAGCACGAAGCCAGGACGACGTGATGACGCCGTGTCAACGACCAGCGAACATCGCTCTGTCTCCGTCGCACTCCCGGGGCGTCGCGTAGGGGCGCGAGAGAGGCGGGAGCTACTTCGAGCCCAGAATCGGCGCGTCGCTACTCCGCGAAATAGCGACTCTCCGCGTTGAGCTTTCTGCGCAGTCTCGCGGCGAGGGGTATCGACAGAGACACTGTAGCCGAGGGAAGTGTTGTTGTTTTCGGCTCGGGTTCGACCGGTGCCCCGGTGCCTCGCGGAGGGGGAACGTGGTGGCCATGCCGCCCATGCCGAGGCGAAAGGTGAGCGAACGCCGAGTGGAAGATCAAACGAAAACGCCCCTCTCTCTCATCTTCTTCGCGAAAAGTACAGTCGCGCGACAAAAACAGGATTCTCCCCTTTATTTTTCACGGGACGGAACCGGACAGCACGCGAAAACCCGAAACCGCCGTCGTCGACGCGCGTTGACGCGAGCAAAGCCAAGCTAAGCCGGCACGGCGGCACGGCTGCTGTTTGGCATGCCCTTTGTATGTGTTGGTGTGTACGTGTGTGGACAGTCATTCGGATAGCGAGGAGTGACCTTGAGGCCCCCTCCTCCCCTCCCACTTCTGTATACGGAGTGTGCATGTGGGCCTGGCCCCTGGCCCCTCTGGCCCCTCTGGCCCTCCTGGCCCCCCTGGCCCCGCTGGCCCCCCTGGCCCCTGGCCCCCCTGGCCCCGCGGTGTGGGGGATCGAAACATTTAAAGAGCCGCCTGGCCCTGACGACCCGTGAATCATTTCATTCTCTTTCCTTTTCTTTCTCCTTTCTCATTCATTTCACGTCGGGTTGCAGACCGCTGCCGATATACTCGCAGATAAAGCCCCGACGTTTCCGCGTCCCGATAAGGGTGCAGCCGGCTGATGGCCGCGGGCTGGCGCCGCTGGCGGGCCCTTCTCGTGCGGAATCGGCGGTCGGGGGGTGCCGGCCGGGGTGCCGGGGTGCCGCGGGTCGGGGACTTCCCTGCGTTAGAAATAGGGTCCGTTCTCTGCGCGGCCGGCCCGGCCCACCCAGGCCAGGACCCAGAGCAACGCACAACATCCGCCACTACTCAAACGAGCGACCGGAAGCTCCCGGCTGGCGCCTTTCACTGCCAACCCTCGAACATTGAAACGGACGTTGTTCTGTGGCAGTGTACCGGTACACTCTTGTCCCGCTGGTACGCTTCAAGCCGAGGACTCTGTCTCCGACCGACGCAAGCGAAGGCCCCTTTTCCTCTTCGTTTCCGCCCTCATTGTTGCTCATGTTTCCCCGGCGGTAGGTCCGGTAGGTTGGCACCGCTGGTTGTTTTGATTTTCGCGCGCCCACTTGCCGGCGAATCAAATCGAACTTGAAGGAACAGGCTCGTGCGTGTCCATGAACGCTGTCCATGTTGTTTTCCTTTGCTTTCCGTTTGCCGATGTTTCCATTGCGTAATGCCCAGGCTCCGCTCCGCGTCGCCTCCAACCGCTGAATGGTCTTCGTCGACGCGGACCGCAGCAGTTGTGGTGGTTGATGGTCGGTGCTCCATTTTGCATTGTGCAGAAAACAAGCCTCACCTGCGAATGTTTACATTCTCAGAGCTGCTTGTTGGGGTTTTTAATTTTGTCTTTTCGACCAGTGAGCGCCACTTTTACCTACCTGGTGTATTTCATTTTTCATTCCTGGTTTTTAAAATGAACCAACTTGATTCCACTCATCTATGACAGTGAAAATGCTACTGGCTGAAGGGTTAGAGGATTGGTTGTGACAGTATACTTCACATCTCTAGATGAAACAGGTCTATAGTAGGTTTTAGAAGACCTTAGTTCTGGATGTACCATTGTGAATGTTCCATTCTGTGTCTGCCCTATGCCGGTTCATTACCAAACATAGTGTGCCTGATGTACCTTGGCTCTCTTCCTAAGCGTTGAATGCATTGTAGTGAATTTGTATTTATTGATTTGCTCACTCATGCGAACGCTTTTGCTTTGATAGGTTGATTCCTGGAGTAGAGCGCTTAGCGTTGTGACGCCCTGATCTCATATACGAGCCGCATCGATCTCTCTTCAAAATGCGTACTCAAGCAGGTTAGTGAATGTAGTTACTGTCATTAAATATCAATGTGTGATGTTTTTCCACATGGAGGTGGTATGGTGTTATGCATATGCTCTTATGTAACAGTTGGTCTAAGCTTATTGGTTCTTATGTAACTTATGTAATGGTTTTATCTGTTGCAGAAGCCCCCCTTGCCATTACGTCCAACGGGAAACCTCCCATAATGCTGGGTGGCGTTCTCGGGGAAGATGAAGAGGCGCAGGATGCCTCTTTCTCTGGGCCTCTTTTGTTTGACGACGGTGACCATCACTGTCGGACACTTCAAGCCCTCAACATGATGCGCAAGAACAGGCATTTCTGTGATGTCATACTTCATGTTAGTTTTGTTCTTCCATCCTATTAGTTTTCTGTAATTTAGGCTTACTATTTTACCAATGTGAATAAATATGTACAACAGGTTGGCAACACAGAACTGCACGCTCATCGGGCTGTTCTTGCGAGCGCCAGTCCATACCTCTTTGAAATGTTTTCTTCAGAAGAGGAAGCCAAAACCAATGCCAGAGAAACTGTCATCACATACAAGCTGAATGGTGGATTTGAAAGGTCTGCCATTGAAAAACTTGTTGACTATGCTTACACAGCCAAGTGAGTTATCAACATTTTTCCACTCCCATAGCCCAACTTTTATTCTTTTGTCAAATTAATTATTATTATTACTATTATTTGCTCAGGCTGTATGCTGAGCCGCGGCAGGTGAAGGGCATTTATTTGGCAGCTTCTCACTTGAAGATGGAGTCGGTTGTTCAGGAATGTGCCCGCCACCTCATGGAGAACTTGCACGTTGATACTTGCATTGACACCCGATCCTTACCTGGAATCACTCGTCAGAAGAGCTTAGTCTCTCAAGTTGATGCATTCATTGCAGAGAAGGTGAGACATAAGTCTTAAGTCCCCTTTTCTATATTTTTTGTTTTTTGTAATACATATTTGTTGCATCTGAGACTGATTGTTCTTTCTGTTTACAGTTTGAAGCCGTGAGACAGACTGCAGCATTTTTGGCTTTGACTTGTCTACGTGTTGAGCTGCTCAGCCAGACTCGTCAGGAAATGTCCCTGGTTGGAGGAGATTCAGTTTGCCAACTGGTTTTGGAGTGGTTGAGGAAACAGTGTGATGCTGAGACGGTGGACATAGATGATCTTGCTGAGAAGGTATTTTAGTTAGCATTGTTTGAGATACAGTTATCTTAAAAATAATTCTCTTTCAAATTTTTTTTCTTTCTTTTCAATTTTAGAACCATATGTTGTATCTGGCTCTGGACAACTCTCTCCAGGATTGTTCTGATCTTCCTAGTGGGGATTCCAATGACACTGAGATGGTGCAAGACTACAAGAAGTTGAGCAAAAAAATAACATCATCCAAGGTACTTTCAGTGGGATTTGGGACTTCGAAGACAATAATTTTCTGGATTTGTGAGTGCCTTAGTAACCTCTAATTTTATTATTATTATTAATTTTTTTAGAATAACCGTCGGAAGGCACCTCTTCAGCCTGCCAAGCCAAGAGTTCTCTTTCTAGCTCGAGATATTGGAGAACAGCTTGAAATTGATGAGCAATCTGACAGCATTCTCATTGCATCTTGCAAAGTTTCTGGTGAGTAAATTTACAAATAAACTTAAGTTTTTTTTTTCATTTTTGACCATTTAATAATAGTTACTGTGGTTTTCAGACTCTTCATTCCAAGCGTTGGTGACATTTGGGTCCCGTTTGGTGTCCATGTCTGTAACCTTACGTCTTAACCAGCCAACTGCAACCACTCCGTCTCCTATTGCCACTACCCCAGTTTCTAACAGCAGAGCAGAAAGTCAAGAGAAGGAACAGCAACCTGATATGTATTGCGTCATGGCTCACATGAGTTCCATGAAGTGCTCAAGCGGATGCGCCAACTTAAATGAGCAGCTGCTTGTTTGTGGTAAGTAACTGAAAAATGATAAATGGTGACATCCACTTTATGTGCCTGTTGTGAATTTTATTTCATAAATTATTATTATTACAGGTGGTTATGACCGAGTGGAATGCCTGAAGAGTGTGGAAGCCTACGATCCGGAGTGGAACATCTGGGCCTCAGTGGCACCCATGCGGGAAGCTCGAGGTCGCTTCAACATCGCAGTTGTTCGCGGTGAAGTTTATGCTGTGGGCGGCAGCAACGGTACAACCGAGCTGGACACTGTTGAGAAGTACAATCAAGAAACTCAGAAGTGGACTAAGGTGGCTTCTCTTCCGTTAGCTCGGTCCCACACAGGCAAGTTATTGAGGAAACAAAGTATCAAATCAATTTTTTTTTCATCCCTTAACAATCTTTGGTTGTTGCCTTTTCAACAATGATCTTCATATTATAAATAAAATCTTCAATCTCTTTCATTAGTTTTTGCTACATTTTACTGTCAAACTATCTAAATTTTTAATATTTTTTGGCAACTTTGCATTTAAGATGTTTAAGATGTTAAGATTCTTCTCTAAAAAATTCAAATTGTATTAGGCAACTTCCAGTCTTTCTATTTCAATCCTTTAAAAAATCCTTATCTTGGTAAGCTTTTACTGGTATTACTGTCTTGACCACAATGCTGAGCCACTTATTACAATGGTGTTTTCCATATTTAAAATCAAGTTCAAAATTTTTAATTTGCATCCTACTTTCCTGTCCAAATTAAAACAGTGACTACCAGTGTTTTAAAAAATCACTTTTCCAAACAATTTTTGTTGTTGTTCATTGTAGTTATGAAATACCATGTACTGACTGGGTCAGCTTGAAGTGGCAAGTGCTGCTAATGATTAGTGCTTGCTTAAGTAGTTGTATTCAGGAGCATTTTCCATAAATTGCAGTCTTATCAAATGTATCATTGCAAGGCTCAGCTTGAAAGTGGGAACAACAGAGCAATTCCCAATTCATTTTTCAACCGACCTTTCTCACTTCTATTTTTGAAAGCAGAATTGCTGCAGTTTGATTTAAGAAATATTAACTTTATAGCACTTTTTTCTTCTTCTGTTAGTCATTTTCTACATTGCACTATTTTTGAGACTGACAGTTTTCTTTTCTTTCCTTTCCCATAACTAGTGTGATTTGCTATCTGTCCAAAATGTTGAAGTGCTCATTTTCATGAGTAATATTGCTCAGGTATTTGACAGCACATTCAAGTAGCACCTTCTATATGATCTTCTTAACATCTCCTCTTTGAAACTTAAATTTAAATCTTGAGTAATGCAGCATTTCTTCTTAAACCATTGATCTAAGTAACAGTCTTCACCACACTGAATTGGGCAAAATGCATGTTGTGAGGGAATACAAAGCTCTTGGGAGGAGGGACAAGGGAGATGCATTCTGCATCCGTATGTTTATATTTTCTGTTTGCAGACTTTTAAGGCCTGTGGGCTCATCTGTGGTGAGTTCTTTATGAAGTTCTTTTGATTTCACTCATGCAGCTCACTGAGTAGGTGGGAGTCTAAACGTGCCAGCTGACCATGAGAAGTTTTGCCTCTTGAGCTCCAATATTAATTTATTTTTGTCTTTTTGTTTTTGTCCCCTTTTTAAAATTTGTTTTTGTTCTCTGAACAGAATTAGCCTCAAAATACTGTTTGTGAAATTCATGTTGATTCAGTTACTGGTCGTTTGGTATTTGCTCGTGACACCCTGACCTTTTCCTGAAATTAAAACAATTGTCTGTTGGTTTACTTTGCAGCTTTGTTATGTTACGGAGTCTCAGAAGAAAGAAGACTTTTAGCATCCCCGGCATTGTGTGCAGGAGGATAGCACCCATTGGACCCATTGCTAGCTCTCATGAAATCTTTTCTGATTGGCGTTCACTTGAAATCTTGCTAGTACCTTGTGTTTGATATGCTGAATGCCATATGCTTCTTTTAAGTGAGGTGGGCATCAGATATGACTGGTATAACAAACCTGCTTGGGCCCAATGCACTCTCATTTATCTAGCCATCATTTCGGGGTGGGCTGGGAGTAAAACTGTCGCATCTCTAGGTAAAATTTAGCTACTTTTTTGCAAACTGCTACTCTGGTGCATTTTGCAAATGTGGTTTAGCACATAGGTGAGCGAAGAGGCTGTTTTGTCATAAGTAAATTTGAATTGGTTTGGGTGGTCCACTAAGTGTATGGCATTCTTGGAGCATGACAGAAAAGCAAAACACTGTGAGAAGCAAGGGAAACGCTAACAGGAGCACTGCAAGTTGTGAACTACAAGAGAGAGCTCATCATGATTTATTTAGCATTTTGTGACTATTCGGTGAGTAAGCTCCAATTTTCGTTACACTGATACATGACATAGGGTGGGTTCATGAAAAGGGAAATGCTCCTGATGGTGTGATTGGTGCAAGTGCATGAAAGCTCATGATAGTTCATGCCTCTGTTTGTGTGTTGTACCGTTAAAGAGGCATGGGCTTCATAGGCAGCGCCTGTGGTAATTTTTTTGTAATTGTAAAGTGCAGGAGACCTGATCTTTTGCGGTTTCTCTTTCACCGTGGAGTAAGTACGTCATGCAGACCTTGTTGTGACAAGGTGTTGCATGCTGGATGACTTTCTTACGCCTTCAATAGTCAAATTGTTTTCAGTGGAAACCTGAAGATCTAGTGTCTCGACCACATTTCTTTCATAAGGTTTTTTCTTCATTTTAACAGCAAGAAGTTCTAATAGGATTTCCATCTCCATAAATGATGGGTGGTCTTAAGGCATTATATCCTTTTTTCCAAATAGATGCACTTCTACCATGATTTCTGCTCTAATGGGGTAGTGGAGGACTCTATTGTTCTTACAGTGAGCCAGTATTACAATGTGAATTTCTTTCAGGTGTGTGCAACTTGGATGATAAGATCTACTGCATCGGTGGCTGGAATGGACAAGTTGGCATTCGTCAGTGCGACGTTCTGGACCCAGATGTAGGGAAGTGGATAAGCATTGCACCTCTCCATACAGGTATGCACAAACTCCCATCATCTGTCATTTGTTTATAAGACTTGAATTTAAATTTTTCTCTGTATTCATTTCTTTTAGGACGTTACCAAGCTGGAGTTTGTGCAATGAAAGGCCAAGTTTATGCTGTTGGTGGTTGTGATGCTTGGAACTGCCTTAACTCTGTAGAAGTGTATGACCCAGAAACTGATGAGTGGAACTTCGCCAATGAATTGATCACTGCTCGCCGAGGTTGCGGTGTTGCCTACTTCAAAGGTTTGTGTTATCATCAGAGCGGCAAATTTGTTTTCATGGTTTGGCTTTTTTCATTTTAGCTGATTCACTGTTTTTAATTTTTAGGAAAGCTGTATGCAGTTGGTGGATCAGATGGGACTCATGCTCTCAGCACAACAGAAATTTATGACCCAGAAACTAAAGCTTGGACCCCCGGTCCAAACATGACAACGCCTCGAGCCAATGTTGGAGTAGCTGTAATTGGCAGTCGCTTTTATGCTGTAGGCGGATTCTCAGGTAAATAATTTTTTATCTAACTGTATGCATTGAGTATCACAAATATGTTCTAAATTTTGTTTTCGTGCCATCTGCAGGTAAAGCATTCCTGAACAGCATTGAGTACCTCGATGAAAAGACTGACGAGTGGACTACATTTATGCCAAAGGCATCATCCACTTCTTCTTCCCCATTTTCCGTCTCACCAACTCCAAGTGGCAAGACGTCCATGGATCAACATTTCAACTTTGAAGCCAAGACAAATGGAGTCAATGGACAGCCATCTGCTCTAAAACTATCTCATGTGAAAGCACAAAATGGGAGTAATGGTGATCACAACGAGGAGAAGTTAGATGGGAATGAATAATAGTAGGCTGTGTAAATGAGAGATTTATTTTCTGAGCAAGGATTGAATGTGATTAATACCAGAACTTGTCTTTGAACTAAGGCTTTAAAAAGTTGCTTTGCCATGGATGAGAACAATTTCTTTTCTTTTTTCTTATGTTTCATATAATGTTTCAATACCGTGCATCTTTATTTTGCAGTATTTTCTTGAGAATGTATTTCTAGTATATCGACTAGTTCCACTAAGTTAAGAATGGTGCATTTAGTTTTGATGTGTAAGGCAAGTTCAGCATTATGAAGAAAACAATCCTTTAGGTTCTGATCATACGTTCATCACAGTGGGAGTGTGAATTCCTTATTTGTTAATTATGTCATGTTTATTGTTAGTCGCTACTGTATTGATTATCACATCCCCCTATTTCTAAAAATCAATCCTTCCCATAAATTACCTATTGTACTATTAAATCTGACGTTTTTATTGTTGGGCAAACAAAAAACACAACTTTCCTGTGATTCTTTCCTGACTAAAAGTATCTTTTTTTCCCTCTTTGCCATATCTCCTAAAGTCTGAATGGTTTCCTTGCACTCTTTTGAGGCTTACAATTTGTATTTGTAATAATAAGCCAGCACAGGCAACTTTATCCTAAGAATTTCATTAGAGATTTTATGTAGAAGATTTTGATTTCTTGTTCTGATGGGCATGTGCTTAAGTTCCTACTTGATTTTCTTATCAGTTACAGTTTTCTTACCATTTAATTTTACTAGACCTCCTATTTATTTTACTACAATTTTTGTTTTGTTTCTCTCTATTCCCTCCTTTCCCTCTATCTCTGACCATATTCTTTAATTGTAAGATTCTTTCTTTGATACTCTTTTTATTCATACATATTTAACATTTCATAAGTAAATATACAGTAAGAACTGAGGCATGAGTGTTTGTCTAGTACCACTGTTTTTGAAGTAACTGTTATAATGATGCCTCCTGTCTTGATTAGGAATGTTGCTGGTAAAAGTAGTGCATGCTGCTAGCTTCAGTTACTAGTACATAGATTATATTACACATATATCAAGGCAAGAGAACTAATGTGTCAAAACTTTCTGAGAGTACCGAGCTGTACGTAGAGATGATTCTTATTGATTTTTCCCTTGTACGTAATGTCTTATAAGTAGACACTCCTTTCAGTGTTTTTGTTAAGTAATTGCTGGGATTTCCATTCTCTAACGTGTTCTGAGCCAAGTTGGTTACAAATCCTCCTGTGTGCAAGCTGCCAGGCCAGAATATTTCAGATGTCACCACTGTTGTAGATACTGTTACTTCATTCTTAATAATTTAGAGATTGCATTCTGATGCTAGAAATATTTGTCTTTGCAAAAGAGGTGAATTTATTGTAGTGCCATGGTTTTATCATCATAAACCTGGAATTTGTCTGTAACAGCTAGTGACCTGTGACTTACTTGTTACATGTAGTTGTAGAAACTTGCTTGTGGCTTAACCAGTGCAGGCCCGGTGGTTTCTTTGTAGTAGTTCATAAAATTCCTTTGTAGGCAGTTTGCAAGGAATTCACAAGTCATTGACAAAGAATCTCTGGAGAGTTAATAACTTTATCTATGTGAACTACAGTATTTCAGTTTTGGAATGAACTAAGTACAAATTAATATATTAAATCAGGTGCAGTGTATGGTGTGTGGCTGGCCCATTGCCTTGTTTGAGCTGGTTAATTTTTTCATACTGTTCATTGGCGTATACTTTTGCTATTTTTATATGTCAAATTTCAAAATCATGATGACTTTGGTTAGCACAAGCTAATTTCTTTTACAATTTTCCAAATGTTAAAATCACATTTGGCCAGGGAAAGGTATAAACATTTGCGTGTATCCTGTCCCAATTTTTTTAAAGAGAACATATTGCTATATTATTTTTATTGTTTTTTCTATACTTGTTTTTATTAATCATTGTTCAAAACAAGATTAATTTTATCCTCCTATACTGACAAGAAATCATGTGAAAATGATTTTTTTCAATTGGAAGGTATTGTACTAGTGTCACCATTTTGTCATCCCCGCTTAATGGTAATGACAGTGAGTTATACAATTTTACGTTTATAACGCACTTAAACTTTGACAGGGTATTAAAGCTGCTGGGGCTTAAATTCAAGACAACAGTAAATGGTCCATTTTTATTTATAAGTGTATGTGTATGTGAGATTTCTTTTGTGTGTCTGTGCAATATGTCTGAAAATCTGTAATGTATTGAAAGATACCACTGTAAGTTGGCTTTTCTTCGTATCCAAACTAGCATTTCAGAAGCTCTCCGAGCCAGCATAATGAAAAATCTGAATAAATGGTTCAAATATCTGTCTTGCCTACATGAGTCTCTTGTTATGACCCTATGACTTCCAATAGCCTCATTAAAAGGAGCACACCCTTAAAAACTGAAGACTTTATTAGTAACAATATAACTAATCTAAACAAACCAAGTCTATGGAACCTTTTGTGTGGTCTGTATGGCAGCTTTTCTCTTGCGATCTTTCCTTGCTTCGTAATAGTACCACCTGAAAAGTAGAACAAAAAAAGACAGTTACACTGAATGACTGTTTACTTATTCAAGTCCGCCGATTTGGTCGATTCTCACCCAAAGATGAGGAAGGCGGGGAACGTGATAACGCCTCCGACCAGGAAGAAGCCTCCGGGGAGGTCCTGCATTGTGAGCTGGTACACCTTGGAGTACAGTGGGCCGCACACCACGGGCATCATCGCCTCGCACGCCCCGAACAGCGAATTCACTTTGCCTGAAAACCCAAAAGGCAAGGTGCGAAATGCGAAAGCGACTCGGTGGCCGACATAGCAGGGGTGTGGGTCGTTGACAAATCAGAATTGGTGCAGGGAAAAACGGGAATTATTTGAGTATGCGCCAGAAAGTATGCAACCCATCGTTCACAGTCTCCCCACCGCTCCAGAACCCAGAACTCAAATAGCGTCACGGGAAAAGTCATTTTTGCCGCTCTTGTTGCATAGCGCCGGGAAGGTAGACCACCCTCTTGACACGTCACAGGGAAGACATGCAAAACACATCTAGCCTAAGCTTACCGAGCTCGTCGCTGGGGACCAACTTGGAGGCCATGGCCCTCATGGCGATGAAGGACGTCCCGTTCATCATGTCTACGAGAGGGGCTGGCATATGAAACACAGGGAAACATTAATTTAAAAAGTTCCCAGCACATTTTTTGGCAGTGTACTACAAGCACGCTCGCGTCGTACCGATGAGCAGGACGCTGACGGTGGTGGCGAAGGCGTAGATGAAGCCGGCCAGGATCTTGGACGCGCAGGACATCATGCCGATGACGCTGTCGTCGTACTTGAGCAGGGAGCTGAACAGCCCCACGGAGAGCATCGTGCCTGCGGCAGTACACCACCGTGAACAACAAACACTGCCCGCGTGGCTGGGGAGGGCAGCAGCAGCACGACCCCGGACCTACCCACGAGGTTCGATATGACGGAGTACGTGGAGAAGAGACTGAAGTCCAGCTCGTCCCAGTTGAACCGCAGCCGGACGAACAGGTACATCACTGTGTTCTCACCTATAAAATTACACAAATTAAATAGCAAATATATTTCTGAACAATAATTTTTTTTAAAACAAAGAAGACGGTGTGCCGTCTCGTACCGTGCAGCGGGCCGATGACCAGCATGACCACCACCATGAGCAGGATGACCTTGATGCGGCGGTTGTTTTCGCCCTTCTTGAAGCACGTGCGCATCGTCTCCAACAGATATCGCACGTCGAAGAAGTCCTTGAGGAAGCCGATGACGCCGTGGGGCGCGGGGCCGTCGCCCGACCACTTCTTGGGCTCCTCCTTGACCTGCGTGTAGCCCCACCAGAAGCTGCACACGTACATGCAGGTCGACAGCGAGAACACGCCGTAGAACCTGCGAGGCGGTCAAGCTGGGTTAGGTTCTGTTAGGTTAGGTTAGGTTAGGTTAGGTCAAGTTAGGTAAGGTTAAGTTAGGTTAGTTGGAGGTTCGGCGAGGTTCACGACGGACACGCACCCGATGAGGCGGTGCGCGACGCCCGACAGCGCCATGCCGATGGGGATGCCGATGGAGAAGAAGACGTTGACGACGCCGATGCGGAAGGTGCGGTCGGCCTCGGTGGTCACGTCGGCGATGTACGTGAACACGGCCATGAACATGACGAACCAGCCGCCGGTCATGGCGGGGAACACCGCCTCGGCGAACTGCCGGCCGGAGAGAGCCGCGTCAATGTTTAGGTTGCGACTTTCAAAGCCGGTAAGGTAAAGGGACGAATGTGGTGCGGGAGGCGCCCGGAGGTAGGCAACCCGCGTGCAAACGGCCGTGGCGGGTTGCCTAGGGCCCGTCGTCGGGCGCTCCGGGAGGCGCCCGGAGGTAGGCAACCCGCGTGCAGACGGCCGAGGCGGGTTGCCTAGGGCCCGTTGTCGGGCGCTCCCGGAGGCCGTCAAAACTCGAGACGCGTTTTGGGCTCCAGAGTCGCAAAATAGGACTCGAACCGGACGTGTGACCCCACCAATGGATTCCTCGTTCGGAGAGCAATCCAGTGGTGGGGTCACACGTTCGGTTCGCGTCGCATTTAGCGACTCCGGTCTTCTGGCAAAACCACTGAGCAGCGCGACGCCGCCTCAAAACCCACCGTGGCCGCCTCGATGGGCAGCTCGTAGTAGAAGTAGGTGCACACGAGCAGCCCGATGCTGGTGAGCAGCTCGCCGATAATGGGCAGCAGCATGCAGGGCTTGCGGCGGCCGTGCCGGTCCGACCAGGAGCCCACGAACAGGATCAGCACGGCGGGCAGCGAGCTCTGGATGAACGTCTTCCAGCCCGCCATGCTGGCCGTCAGCTTCTGCACCTGAGGGGGATGAAAAAAAAACTTTTTTGAAAAAGGAAAAAAAAGTACAGTACATTAAGTTGAAAAAAAAATTATTGTGAAACCGCGTGGGTGATAATGGCGGTCCTAATTAGATGGCGTAGATATTGATATTTGCAGTCCGATTGCGGCCGTAAGTCCGATAAGCGCCAAGGGCTCCGCCAGCCCCGACACCCCGACACCGCGACACCGCGACACACTTATCGGTTGGAGGCAACGGCACTATCGGTCGCGGCTTGACAGGTATTTGCGTCCGCGGCTTCGCGGCTTGGCGGCGCTCTCTGGCTGGCGACTGCCATTATCGGGAACCACTTTGGATCGATCGGCATGCCGAAGCGCCGACACTCGGACCTACCGCAACGCACACAGCCAGAAGACCGGTGGGGGCGGCCGACAGTCAGGACGCGTTTTCAGCTCCAGAGTCTCTCAGTGGGACTCGAACCGAACGTGTGACCCCACCAATGGATTGCTCTCCGAACAGGGAGTCCATTGGTGGGGTCAGATGTTCGGTTCGAGTCCTGTTTAGCGACTCTGGAGCTCAAAACGCGTCTAGAGTTTTGGCCGCCTGCGCCGGTCTTCTGGCCCACTGCGCTGCGCGGTACCCACCTCGGCCTCCTCCAGAGTGTAGTTGGTGGTCATGCGCGCGGTGAGGGCGTCGCAGACCACGTCGTCGTAGCCCAGGTTGACGCGGCAGGCCTTCTCCAGGTTGAGGTTCTGCGTGGCCAGGCTGGCCAGCACGCTGGGGATGGTGTACATGGCCAGCATGGGCTCCACCGTGATGTTGTTCCGGATGTACCGCATCTTCTCGCGCAGCGTCAGCCCCCAGAAGTCGAACTTCTCCTCCAGCTCGAACTGCTCCACCTTCTACGGGAATCGAGGGTTCAAATACTGCATCGTCATTTCTTTTTTCAAACCAACACTTTTCAAAACGAAACGCGCACCTTTTTGGCGCCACCGTTCTTGCTGCTGAGTAGTTTCTCCTGCTCGGCGGGGACGTCGGCGTCCTCGGCCTCGGCCTTCTTGGAGGAGGCCAGCGTCGGCCTCGTCAGGAGAATCGCCGCCTCTTGAGCGGCCTCCAGGGCAGCCTCCTTGTCGGCCTCCTTGTTTACGGCCTCGTCTCCGTTGGCGGTGGCCTCGACCTTCTGGGCCTCGTCTTCGTTGACGGCGGCCTCGGCCTTAGAGCCTCCGTTGACGGTGGCCTCGTCTTTGTCGACGGGGGCCAGAGCCTCTCCGTCGACGGTGGCCTCGGCTTTCCTCGTCTCATCTTCGTTGACGGCAGCCTCGGCCTTCTTGACCACGTCTCCGTTGACGGCGTCCTCGGCCCCCTTGACCTCCGCCTGGTCTGCCCTGTCCCCGGCCGCAGTTTGCCCCACCATGGCGAGGCCGTGGAGGGCAGGAGCGCGGGGCGGCGCGGGAACTGCTCAGCCTACAACCACAAACTCAGTTTCTGGCGAAGGCGCTGTCCATCATAAAGGTGCCCGTCGTTTCTACACCTGCACCTGGAGCACATTCACATACAAAAAATTCAAAAATAACAAAATGCAACGCATTTTCTAAAACAGAAATCTCCTGGTATGACGTACATCCACGTAACGTGACAACATTTGCAGAGCCACTCTCCCGTAGTTTCGCAATGTCTTGGGGAGAGAGGGAGAGGGAGGGAGAGAAAGAAAGAAAGAAAGAAAGAAAGAAAGAGGATAGAAAGAGAGAGGCAGCACCGTAAATCACAGCACGGTATCACAGATAACGCGCGGAGGGACAGTTGTAATTCACTCCAGGTTCGGAGATTTTCACATTTGGAACAAGTGGCTGAGACCCTCGCTGAGACCGAATCGCGTCCGGACCTCCGCGACTTACCTGGGGATCTCCAGGAAGGGTGGCGGCCACGGCCTGAAACGCCTCGAACCGAGCCTCGAACACACTCAACGACGCTCCCCTGGGGCGGGCTGGCTGGCTCGACTGGCGCACATCCTCGCGGACCAGCCGGTGGTTGCTTCGCTGCTTCTCTGCTTCGCGGCACGCGACCGAACCCGGTCCGGCGTGGTCCAGCGATCTTCACCGCACACGAATCAGTCCGGGTTCTGCTCGCCCTGCCGGCCCATAGTCGCACTAGTCCCGCACTGTTTACAGACCGGTGAAACAGACCACTGCCTTTGGCCGGTGAAAACGGCCACAGGTGTTTCCCAACTCTGGTGAAAATGGCCACTGATTTCCTCAAAATCTGGTGAAAACGACCACTGCCACCGACTGCCACTGATGTATTGTTCTGGGACCGGTGAAAACGATCACAGATATCTCCCCCAAATCTCCACTGTCACTGGCTTTTGACACAAAGGGCGGTGAAAACGGCCACCGATTGACTGTCCCGTCCACTCGGACGCCGGTGGAAGCGAGCTTCGATTAATCGTCCCCGTGGTGAACACGGTGAACACGCCCGGCGATCGCGCCCGCTCCCTGTCCGTGTCTGCTCCGCGCGGCCACCGTCAGCACTGCCGCGGAGATAAGAGTTCGTCGCGGACCTGGCCCAGAGGGCCCGGCCCTGTGGCTCTCCCCCTCACCCTCCCCCGCGGCGCGTCGCTCTGGTTTTGTCACTTTTCGGAAGAAAGCCGATTGGATGTGTGGCGGGCCGTGGCGGCCGTGCCCTTGGCTCGCGCCTCGCGGCCTCTCGTTTCCAGTTCCAGTGCAGATGCTCCTGTCCCGCGGGACAGCTGGAAATTGGAAAATTGGCTCGCCTCCCCCGCGTGAGTTGTCTGGCCGCAGCACAGTGGGCCAGAAGGCCGGCGAAGACGGTCAAAACTCTAGACGGGTTTTGAGCTCCAGAGTCGCTAAATGGGACTCGAACCGAGCGTGCGACCCCACCAATGGATTACTCTCCGAACGAGGAATCCATTGGTGGGTCACACGTTCAGTTCGAGTCCTGTTAAGCGGCTCTGGAGCTCAAAACGCGTCTGGAGTTTTGGCCGCCGCCGGCGCCGGTCTTCTGGCCCACTGTGCGCCGCAGCACAGAGCACGGTCGCTACTCTGCAATCATGGGGTTCATTTGGTATTTTTGATGTCCCACAGACTATCTCATGTCGCATAGATTTTAGCTCACATCCCACATACGATTTTCGATGGCCCACAGACTACTTTTCAAATCCCGCTGTTTATCGTATCTCTTTGATCAAAAATACCGTTGCGGACATTGAAACGTATCGGTTCATTTATGTCTATGAGCTCGGCAATTGTTTTTTTTAAGGACTAGTTTGAAAAATGCATCCGTTGAGTGAGTCGTCCTTGCACTGGTGCACTCGGCGTTCTGGGACTAGTGTGACTGCCGCACTGTTGGTAGAGCGCGGAGCGGCGCAGAGCACACACATGGCGCCACCCGGTAGCGAAGAACGTGGAACGTGTGCATATCAGTTAAACCTCCGTTATTTTCGACAAACGACGACGCTCTCTCACACTCTCTCACACACACGCATTCCCACACACTGACACAGTCGCAACCGCGCCGCCTACACCTTCCACGCCGACGCGACGAAAGCTTTTTTATCAGATGCAGGGAGATTATTCCGCCACGCACTCAGGATGCATTCATTAGGGGCCGAGGCTCTCCAATTGACCACTCCACAGGCCGGTGACTGTCTGCGGCGGCGAGTGGCGGCGAGGCGACGGAGCGACGAAGCGACGTGCAAAGCAAAGTGATTAGGTGCCGCGGCCTAGATCCGAGTCGCCGCGTCGCCAATGCGAGTTCGGATCCCCTGGCGACAGACTGGGGTACTCACACTACTCAACCTGTTTGTTTTTAATGAGTGTATTTTCATTTTATTTTACAAAATTACTTAATTAGTCTATACAAGGCGGTCCTAGTGCGGCGACGAGCCCGGGCTGAGGGAGGGGCTGAGCAGCGGGTGCTGCGGCTGGTGGTGGTGGGGGTGTAGGTGCATGGGGTGCGGGTACATCGGCGGGCGCGGCTGGTGCGGTTGGTGCTGCCCCCCGGGTGGCGGTAAAGGCACGGCGAGGTGGTGCGGGTGCTGCATCAGGCCGGCGCCGTGCGGACCCATGCCGGCCAGGCCGCCCCCCAGGGGCAGCCCGCCCGGCAAGGGCCCCGCCATGGGCCCCGTCATGGGCCCCGCCATGGAGGGCGCCATCGACGCAGAGGTCGGCGGGACGCCGTTGGGGTAGTTGAAGAACCTGCAGCAGAACGGAACTCACTGATGACTTTGTTGACGGGGTCCTCGGGGCTCACGTCGCCGTCGTACTGACCACAGCCGATCCCCCAGGAACATGGGCCTGGCCGCCGTGACGCCCAGCTGGCTGCAGTACTGCTGGGCCAGCAGCTCCAGGTCGCTGGTGTACTTGCGCTTCCACTTGGTGCGCCTGTTCTGGAACCAGATCTTGATCTGCAACAGGAGGAGCCGCGGCCAGGCACCGCCAGGTTAGACTCAGCGTCGCAAGCAACCAGCCTCGGGGGCGTTTTTCAGCTTGCGTCTCAGCGGTCGAGGCTTGAACGAAACAGACTATCAGTTTCGGATGACTCAACAGTTTAAAGTGTCAAATTAGTCAACCGCTTTCCTTGTCGGGTAATTGGCTCGTTACGAGAGAGAGTGTGAGAGAGACGGAGAAGGAGGGAGGCGCCAGGAACTTTACACCCGAGAGGGGGGAAAAATGAAGGGGGCGTACCCCGCCCCACCCCGCCCCACCCCGCCCCGCTCCGACCCACCAGCACGTGTCCGGATGGCGCCTCGACGCGGCGCCACTGCGGCGTGCGAGTCTTGACGCCTTGCTTCGCGTGCTTCGCGTCCTCCGGCGCCGTCCCCGGCCCGGCCGCCACCCTGGCGGTGCTGCAGACTCCCAGGGATTCCAGAGGTCGCCGTCGAGGCCTTGTTATCGAATGCCGCGCCGGCGACAGTCTCGCCCCCGCCTGCGCCCGGCTCGCCTGGCTCCAGAAGCGCCCCTGCTCTGTCGTGGGACTAAAACGCGGCATTGGCGCCAACGCGTAGCGGCGGAGCGCCCCGCCCCGCCGCGCCCCGCCCCGCCGCCACACCGCGCCTTTGCGAAATGTCGCCCGGGCCGGCGAGACACACCGAGACACGCCGAGACAGTCGTAAACAATTTCCTGTCTCGTGCCGTGCCGCCGTGCCACCGCCGTGTTTGTGTAGTGTGTCCTGTCTCGCGGGGCCTCGGCGCGGGGCGTGCAAAGTGCCGGCAGTGCCGCGGCAGCAGGGCAGCGGGGCACAGGCACTGCAGCCTCCACTGCAGCGCGCGGCCCGTCGCGGCGCTGGCGCTACTCCGCGCGCGGGGGACACCGTCTCGAACGCGGCGCGCGGGGTATTGACGCGGTCATTCCCTGTGCTGGACCATCGCCCAGCGGGTGGTGGGCGACACTGTTTTCCCCAGTTTTCGGACGAAAAAGCGGAAAAGCGGAAAAGCGCGAGGAGGAGTGGGCAGACTTTTAGAACAAGCACACCACCTTAGCATGGCGTCCTCAGAGGCTCAAAGGTGTCCTTGGAAGGCCGGCCAGGAGGACAGGACAGCGAGCAACCCCTCCGGCCGCTGGATTTATGTGCAACCCTTTCCCGGCACCGCGCACCGCACCGGGCCGGGCCGGGCCGGGGGTGTGATGTAGGTGTAGGGTGTGTTGGGCGCGTCAAAGAAGGGCTTGGATTACAGTGGAGTGGGAAAGGACGGCCCCGCGCGGGGAATGCGAGAGCGAGCGAGAGGGAAAAGGTCCGTACGGAGCAGCGCGAGGTTAATGAGCTGCATGAGTAATGGCCCCACCGACACCATCGCTCCGTCTCTCTCGCACTCACGGGGCGTCCCACAGGGTGTGAGAGAGAGAGGCGGCCGCTCCGCCCCGCGCGGGCTTGGTCAGGATCAACGCGGAGGAGGGGAGGGTCGGGGCGGTGGCGCCAGGAAGCCATGCGTTACTGCGTGTGGCGTCGAGAAGGGGAAGGGGGAGGGGGGCGTTACGCCAAATTTTTTGACTGCCTATTAGTGCTGCTGTTTTCGCCTTTTTAACAGCAGCCTCGCGCATCCCGATGACCCCAGCATCCTTTAGTACCCATTTGCTTGTGGGAAATGGCCGGAGAATTTAAAGTGGCGACTGACCTGCGTCTCGGACAGCTTGAGCGCGCGGGAGAGTTGCAGGCGCTTGGCCACGGACAGGTACTTGTTGCGCTCGAACTCGGCCTCCAGCGCCTTGATCTGGGCCGCGGTGAAGGCGGTGCGCGGACGCTTCTTGCGGTCGTCCAGGTCGCCGCCAGAGCCGGGGCCGGGGCCGCCGTCGGCGTGGTCCAAGGCCGCGGCCGCCGGCTCCGGAGTCCCGGCGGCCGTGGGGGTGCCCAGGGGAGTCTTCCCGCCGAGGTCGCCGACGTCGCCGTCCTGGGAGCTGCAGTCGCTGGCCGCCTCTGCAACAAAGATTTGAACTTGACGACATCGCTGAGACGGTTACACTGTTACACTGTTGGGAGGTGCCTGAGTGTCAGTGATCCCATCTGCCCGCGTCGTTCGCGTCGCTATCGCCGTCTCACTCGGGAATGCGAACTGGCCGGCACGCTGCCTCTCTCACTCCCTCTGCCGCAGTCTGCGGCCCTCGATGGCGGATTAGGCGTCCATCGGCGGGGCGACGTCTGGTTGACTCTGCGGCGCTCTGCGGTGATGGACGCGGGGGCAACGGCGGCAGGGCACGGCAGGCACGCCCCGAGGCACGCCGGCCGAGGGAGCGCGCCGAAGGGCGGACGGAACCAACTGGCCCGCGGCCAATCCCTGCGCTCGGTCGGTCTGTCCGTCCGTCTGTCCGTCCGTCCGCCGGATGACAGGCTTGTTAGAGGGCGCATCGCTTGATAATTGGTCAGCGGCGGAGCGGAGCGGGACGACATCTCTGTCGCTCGCGTTCGCGCGCCGCCCGCGTCCGTCTGTCTCTGTCTGCGGTGAGTCTGACCGCCCCACAGTGGGCCAGACGACCGGAGGAGTCGGCCAAAGTTGCAAACGCGTTTTGAGCTCCAGAGTCGCTAAGGCACTCGACCCGAACGATTGACCCCACCAGTGGATTCCTCGTTCGGAGAGCCATCTATTGGTGGGGTCACACGTTCGGTTCGAGTCACATTTAGTGACTCTGGTGCTCAAAACACGTGTAGAATTTTGGCCGCTTCCACGGTCCTCTGTCTCCGTCTGGTTGTTACTGCCCTCCGTGGAAGGCCAATGAGGTGAACGCGACGATAGGCAGACGCCGGACATACGTAGTCGCGCGGGGGAGGGAAGTCCACAGCACACGACGCACACTAGCAGTGTTGCCAACAAAACACAAAAGAAAACTCAATCTGAAGGTACAAAGGAAAGACCGCGCGCGGCGAGGCACGGCGAGGGTTAAGATCCGAATCCACCCCGGCAGGGCCTCAGGCTGGCCAACTCCCCGCAATCCGTCTCGGATGCAAATTGTCGTTTTATCACCCGAGTGTTGGCACTAGTGGCGCGTCACGGTCGTTTTGACGGCAAATTATCGTTTAATGCCGGACAGTTGGCAGCGCCGGCAGCGCCAGCACCGCCAGCAGACGACGCGGGGGCAATTACGGCAGGGCGGGGCGGGGCGTGAGTTCTCCATCGCCTGAGGATCTTAGAATAGATAAATATGCATTTATTTTGCGCGGCCTGGTACACTCCCAAACAAAAAAAACGTATTGCGTATTTTGGTGTTTCCGCGCGCGTTTCCTCCCAAGGAAACACACGATAAGTAAAAGAGCGAACCGCAAAAGAAAGAGAAAAGACAGGGAACACAACCGCAAAGGGTGGCTCCTGCCTTAATGGCCCTCGCGGTCGCAGAGTCCTGCGGAGTCCTGCGGTTTCGCCGCAAACAAGTTGCTAATCATGTGAGGCGGATTATTTTTACGGCTCCCCCTCCCCCTTTTTTTGCAGCCCCGCTTTCCACCCCCTCGCCCCCTCGCGGCGCCGCCGCGCGAAGCCGTTTTCACGGACGGAAGTCTTTAGTGCTCTTTTTCCCCCCGTTTCATCATCTCTGACGCGCTATGCTGATCACACACACATGGCCCTCACACACACCCATACTCTCACACACACAATACTTCGTCGGCCTCGCGCGGGGTGCGCGTATTTACGTACACATGTCAGCGAGACCAATAAGTTACCACGATACGAGATCAGCATCTCCCGTCACACACACACAAACACACTCACTCACTCACTCACACACACCTCCGTTACAGTGTCGCGGTGGCGATCGTCACAGCTAATGTGGCGTGACAAGGTTTCCTCTGGCCGTCGTCCTGGCCGTCCCCTCGCCGCCCTTGGATGTCCCTTGGAGGCCCTTGGAGGCCCCTTGCAGGGCGCCACTATCGCACACGCGCCTTTACCTGCTCCTCCCGAAACGAGCCCCGCTCGGCCCCGCCAGATTACACGCGAGAAAGCGCCATTTGACGCACCACTCTTTCTGGGAAACCTGCTGCCGACTGACTCAAACCTCTCACTCACTCTTCCTCCTACTTCTGTTTAGGTCAGCTCAGGTTAGGTTAGGTTAAGTGGGCGCGCGCGCATTAGGTTTGAGAGAGAGAGGAGAGAGAGAGAGAGAGAGAGAGAGAGAGAGAGAGAGAGAGAGAGAGAGAGAGAGAGAGAGAGAGAGAGAGAGAGAGAGAGAGAGAGAGAGAGAGTATTTGTACGTGTAGTTGTGTGGCGTGACATTCCCGTTCACGACGAGCATCACTCACGAGGCAGATTTATGTTTTGGATTCTTTACGACCCCTTGCCCCTCGCAAGCGCGGCAAGCGCCCTCCCCCCTTTCGCTTCCATCCCGCGGCGCTCGTTCCCGCCGCGTTTAGTCCCGCTTATTTTCACCGGCCTGACATCCAGTGGTCGTCATAATGCAAATAAACGGGGGTTTATCTGGCCGCCAATTTAGAGCGGCGCCACTCCACTGCGAAAAGAGCGCGCGCCTGAAACCTGGAGTCCGAAAATTCCCACGTTAGGGTTGTCAAGCCTGCCCACTAAAGGCATGTGAATTAAATTTGTAAATTGCTTCAGAGCGTGGAGGCGTGGTAAAGGTCATCGGCGATTTGAGCCCAGTCCCCGCGGCTCCGCTCGCGGCTTGGCTCGCCTCGAGCGCTAATTGCCACAGAGCGGCGCTGAGCGTCGCCGAGGTCTCCGATTTCCTCGACACGACAACAGAATCCGGAGACGACGGGGGTAAAATTAGTCCCCCGGGACCAGGAATCTGTCGACCGTGTCCCCTCGCCGTCCTGCGGGTCCTGCGGGGCCTTCGTCACTCGGCGCGTACCGCGTACCGCGGGGCTGCCGGCCACGGGGCCCAGGGCCTCACACCCAGGGCCCACCAAGGGGTTGATGGCAATTGAGCTCACCTGTCTTCTCTATTGGCTGCACCGCTGCCAATGTTTAACAAATTCTACGATTTATTTTTTCAGGTGAGAGGGCCTGAAATTATCTGAATACTCACCACATCGCCTAGCTAGCATTGATTGAAGTTTTCTAGAGATTCAAGATCTTGCTGTTGAAACGGCCGTTCTTTCGTTTTGAAAAGGCGCTGGTACTTTCCCTTAGCCCGTCCGTCAAATTGTTTCGACACTCCGAAGTGGTCCCGACAAATTTACAGCGTCGACGCGCCGCGCGGAGGTTGATCGAGCGGCACGAGACAACAAGCCGTCGAAACACACAAACACACACGGGGGGGAGAGAAAGAGGAAGATAGGCCGCGCCTCCGCGCCCCACCCCGCGGGACTGACAGGGATGCACGGCCCTGCAACCGATCCCCTTACGGCTTGCGCGTGGCGAAGCCGCGAAGCCTTGGCGGGCTTTGATTTAAAAGGACCGAACGCCGACGCCGCACGCCACACAGCGGGCCAGAAGACCGGAGGAGGCGGCCAAACCTCTTGACGCGTTTTGAGCTGCGGAGTCGCTAAACGGGACTCGAATCGAGCGTGTGACCCCACCAATGGATTCCTCGTTCGGAGAGCAAGCCATTGGTGGGGTCTCGGTTCGAGTCCCATTTGGCGACTCTGCGGCTCGAAACGCGTCCGGGATTTTTACCGCCTCCGCCTCCAACGGTCTTCTGCTGGTCCACAGTGCCCCTGCAGTCTGCAGCGCGGGCCGGCCCGTCGAGCAAGCGTGCCGGAGTGTTGCCTACCCTGCAGGCGTCGGGAGGGTCCAGTCCGTGCGAGTCCAGCCCGTATCGACGCAGACAGTCGCTCGACAGTCGCTCGGCAGTCGCTCTGCAGTCGCCACTACAGGCTGCTTCTATCTCTCTCGCACCCGACGGAGACGAAGACCGTGCGAGAGAGACAGAGCGACGCCGTTGTTCGGCACATCGTGGCGGGACACGCCCCCTCCTTCGCCTTCTTTAACGCTGCACTAATTTATGGACGCGCCCACGTCGAGGGTGCAGTTAGCGCAGCGGTTCTCAACCTTTCTCGGCTCGCGACCCCAAATTTAAAGCCAAAAATTTCCGCGACCCCCAGGAAAAATTTCGCGACCCCTCGGGACCCCTCCTTTAACATGCCACGGCGTCTGATCCGAGGCGGGCATTTTGCTCCCTCAACGGGCAACTGGTCTTTGGACCTTCCTATAGCATGCCTTTGTTACGGAGTGCAATTATCAGTCTTAGTTAGGGAGCAGTATTGTCTCAAAGTTGGCCGAAACGGTCAGCAGTGTCTTTGAAAAATCGTGTTTTGGGCCGATTTTAAGCAGCCACTGCGTCTGATCCGAGGCGGGCATTTTGCTCCCTCAACGGGCAGTTGGTCTTTGGACCTTCCTTTAGCATGCCTTTGTTACGGAGTGCAATTATCAGTCTTAGTTTGGGAGCAGTATTGTCTCAAAGTTGGCCGAAACGCTCAGAAATGTCCATGAAAAATCGTGTTTTGGGCTGATTTTAAGCAGCCACAGCGTCTGATCCAAGGCGGGCATTTTGCTCCCTCAACGGGCAGTTGGTCTTTGGACCTTCCTTTAGCATGCCTTTGTTACGGAGTGCAATTATCAGTCTTAGTTTGGGAGCAGTATTGTCTCAAAGTTGGCCGAAACGCTCAGAAATGTCCATGAAAAATCGTGTTTTGGGCCGATTTTAAGCAGCCACTGCGTCTGATCCGAGGCGGGCATTTTGCTCCCTCAACGGGCAGTTGGTCTTTGGACCTTCCTTTAGCATGCCTTTGTTACGGAGTGCGATTATCAGTCTTAGTTTGGGAGCAGTATTGTCTCAAAGTCGATCAAAACGGTCGCAAGTGTCTTTGAAAAACCGTTGTGACTATTTTGGTCAACTTTGAGACAATACTGCTCCCAAACTAAGACTGATAATCGCACTCCGTAACAAAGGCATGCTAAAGGAAGGTCCAAAGACCAACTGCCCGTTGAGGGAGCAAAATGCCCGCCTCGGATCAGACGCAGTGGCTGCTTAAAATCGGCCCAAAACACGATTTTTCATAGACATTTCTGAGCGTTTCGGCCAATTTGAGACAGTACTGCTCCCAAACTAAGACTGATAATTGCACTCCGTAACAAAGGCATGCTAAAGGAAGGTCCAAAGACCAACTGCCCGTTGAGGGAGCAAAATGCCCGCCTCGGATCAGACGCAGTGGCTGCTTAAAATCGGCCCAAAACACGATTTTTCATAGACATTTCTGAGCGTTTCGGCCAACTTTGAGACAATACTGCTCCCAAACTAAGACTGATAATTGCACTCCGTAACAAGGGCATGCTAAAGGAAGGTCCAAAGACCAACTGCCCGTTGAGGGAGCAAAATGCCCGCCTCGGATCAGACGCAGTGGCTGCTTAAAATCGGCCCAAAACACGATTTTTCATAGACATTTCTGAGCGTTTCGGCCAACTTTGAGACAATACTGCTCCCAAACTAAGACTGATAATTGCACTCCGTAACAAAGGCATGCTAAAGGAAGGTCCAAAGACCAACTGCCCGTTGAGGGAGCAAAATGCCCGCCTCGGATCAGACGCAGTGGCTGCTTAAAATCGGCCCAAAACACGATTTTTCATAGACATTTCTGAGCGTTTCGGCCAACTTTGAGACAATACTGCTCCCAAACTAAGACTGATAATTGCACTCCGTAACAAAGGCATGCTAAAGGAAGGTCCAAAGACCAACTGCCCGTTGAGGGAGCAAAATGCCCGCCTCGGATCAGACGCAGTGGCTGCTTAAAATCAGCCTAAAACACGACCCCAGCATCGCCGCGACCCCTTAAAAAAATTTCGCGACCCCGCTTGGGGTCGCGACCCTAAGGTTGAGAACCACTGAGTTAGCGGGACCGGACAGGGTGCACGCACACACACACTCAGATTGACACAAAGACACGCACACAGACGCACACCAACGCACAACAGAGAGCCCTCCGGACCACGTGGCCACTACACTACCACACGTGGGCGGGAAGGCGGGGCCGCGGCGGCGCTTAGGAGATGACGGACGGCCTGTGTTCCGAAACACGTCGCCGCCCGTCGCCGCGCGTCATACATAAAATAATTCCCAGCCCGCCGCGCGGAAGGGGTAGCACGGGCATCTTCATCAACGTCACCCCGCCCGTCTGTCTGTCTGACCGTCCGTCCATCCGTCCGTCCGTCTGCCCCCTGATTTCTCACACAATGCACCCGAGTCGTCGAATGTTTTTGAATTTGAGGGCCTGTCTCCCAACAGCGGTGCAGAATTCAGAAGTAGTCTCTGAGTTCCGGACAACTGACCTGCGGCCTCTCTTACGCACATGACAGCACAGACTTTAGCAATGACTCGCTAACGTTCCTAGTTTTGTTTTCGCGCCGCCCCGTGTGTGTCTTGCGCGCGAGCCGCGAGCCGGGGTGCGGCTATTACCGCAATAGTTTCGACACGGTCGCGGCGAAGACGACGGGGATGTTCTGGCGGTGGAGGGCGGAGGCTTCGACGGCGCCCGGGACGCGTCCTCGGACACGTCAGTGGCGGCGGCCTTCTTTACGGCCGGTGAATAACTCTTCCTCGAGGAGGCCGACGCGGACACGGAGTTGGTGAGCGCCGCGCCAGGAGGGGCGCTTCCGAACGCGGCGGCCGTCTCTCTCTCTCTCTCGGCGTGGTCGGCAAAGAGTGCGACAGAGACGGACACGCGCAACGGAAGCCGCGGCGAGGGGCGGCGGTGCTTTGAGAAGCAGACGACAGTAGAGAAGTGTTGCAGCGTGGTGGCGTTGCAGCAGCCTGTCTAAACATAGCGTTATGCCGCGCAATCGATTCGCCACTTTTTTTCCGCGCCAAGAAGAAGAGGATGTGCGAGTGGGGTGCGACCGAAGTTGCCCGCGACGGCGTGCTCTTGGTTGGTGCGGATGTGCGACGGGGTGCCTACCTTTGTGCGAGGACGTGGACACCTCCTCGCAGTGGTCCTCGGACTCGGCGGGCGGGCAGCGCGGTCGCAGGCCGCCCCGCGGACGCGGCGGACGCCGCTCGACGTCGTCGTCAGCCACGTCGTCCTCGCGGTGCTCCTCGTGGTGGTGCTCGTCGTCGTCGTCCTCATCATCGTAGCTGGAGCACGTGTCCCCGTCGTCCTCGGTCCGTCCCGCCGTCCCCGCGCTACAAATTTCCAAAAAACAGCAATTTAAATCAGAGTAAAAGTTGGAAAGTAGATTGGCGAGTGACGAGGACGCACCACTGCGACCGCCGCTGCGGCGCCGCGTGCGCGCACGTCCGTGACGACGAGTCCGCGGCGTACAGCACGGCCGGCGGCGTCGTCCGGCACGCCGACGGGAGTCTCGGGGAGTCGCCGATGCCGTCGGCCAGCCTCTGCAGGTGCGCCACGGAGGAGTCCTGGAGGGGTTGCAAACAGAGCCCAGTTTCAAGCCAAGCACTGTCCATTCCAGTTGTTACAAGCACGAGTTTCTACGGTGTTCATTACTGCACTATGGACCAAGACAGGTGAAGGCGGCTAAAACTGTAGACGCGTTTTCAGCTCCAGAGTCGCTGAATGGGAATCGAAACGAACGTGTGACCCCACCAATGGATTTTCCGTTTGGAGAGCAATCCATTGGTGGGGTCACACGTTCGGTTCGAGTCCTAGCTACTCTGGAGCTCAAAACGCGTCTAGATTTTTTTTGCTGAACATGCCCGCGAGCACAACAGCTGCTGGAACGTGAACGCAAGCCGACGCTTCGACCCTCCCTCACTCACCGTGTGCTGCAGGTGCAGGTGGTGCTGCGGGTGCAGGGCCGGCGGGGCGACGTCCTTCTTCTGGAGCAGCCTCTCGATGGAGAACAAGTGCGGCACCGTCTTGGTCAGCACCACATTGTTGTTGTTATTATTGTTGTTGTTGTTGCACGCGTCCTCGTCCACGGGCTCGGCCTTGATGTCCATGGTGATGGGGCGCTGGCTCCGCGATTGGTCCGCGCGGCGCGGCGAGGTGCTGGGGTTGGTCAGGGCCTCGAAGGGGTGCAACAGGTTGCCGTCCGAGGGGGCGCGTCGCACCGCACGCACCGCTTGACTGCACGCTACGCGACGCTACGCGACGCTACGCGCTCCAGCCAAAACAAACACGCCCCAAGTGGAATCCGCCCACCGCCGTCGGCTCGGTCTCGACGTCTGCGACGCGGCGACGCGGTCCTCGGGGTGGAGGGTGCTGCACCGGGACTGCTACTGCCGCAGCCTCCACGACTTCATCCCGGCGCGTGTGTGTCTGTGTGCGTCTTCACATGTGACATGTGTAATTGGTGGGGTGTGGTTAGCGCCTCTGGCCCCACCCCGCCCCGCCGCAAATACCCCGAGGGTCCCCGACGACGGTCCCCGCCCCGCCAATGGGGGCTCCCGGTGGTGCTGCGGGGCGGGGCGTGCCGCGAGGACGGCGTCGAGGGCACCCTGAGGCCCCACCCTTCGTGGCGCGCTGCCAGCCCGCCAGCACCGCCAGCACGGCGATCATCGCGTCTAACGTGTCGGCGATCGCCGCGAGGATATGGTAAATCACGAAGCGATGACGCTCCGATAAATCAACGAGCAGCGGAGTCGCGGGTTCGAGTACCCGCGGAAGCCGCGCCTTTTTTTTGTGCGTCCTGAGCGGGGCGCTGCAGGACACGCGGTGCGTCGAGGTTCCCGCCTCCCGCCTCCCGCCGTGGAAGAAAGATAATGGTGCAGGATCAGGATCGGGACGGCAAGGAAGAGGAAGAGGAAGAGGAAGGGGTGGTGAGGGATGCGCTGTGAAGGCGATGCGATCGGGTGCCGACGGTGGCGACAGTAACGCTAGAGGCAGCCCAGCCCTGCTAATGTTCCGAAACGTTCCGAACACGCCGCAGCATCCCCCCCCCTCCTCCGCCGAGCATTCAAAGTAAATTACGGAGATCGATTTTTCGGAGGCTGACTGACTGCAGGGCCTTGCTGCAGCCCGCTTCCGAACATCGTCGCGCTGTCTCCCTCGCATATGGAACCGCAATGGAACGTCCCGTGAGTGCGAGGGAGACGAGCGACGGAGTTGGAGATCGGCCTGCAGCAGCCCGCGCGGGGCATCTGGATGCATTCAGTGAACTCCGCCCGCGTCGGCGTGCGCCGCAGAAAGCCGAAATCCGTTCCAGCTGGCGGAGAAACGCAGCGAAATGTGACCGGCAGTGTTTCCCATTTGAACCCGAGACCGGGAACCTGGGGGAAGGCCTCTGCTCGGCCCCGTGTGCGACTGTGGGGTCCTGTTTCGTTGTCTGGAGTAAAATGGGGCAGGGGCCGCTGGGTGACAGCTACGCGCCAGGAGTAACAACATCAGCGAACCGTCCACCCCGTCGGCCGACACACACAAATGCCTGAGGAAATCGACACTGATTCTCCAAACTGTTCAACATGACGACACTACCTCAGCGGTTCTCAACCATGCGGGGACAGCGGGGAAAACAGTGCTGCTCCAAAAATTAATTTAATTTCTAATTATTTTGTTGAGGGGTCGCTAAATTTTAGCTGTGGGGCCGCGATGAGTTTCAGTCGGGAGAGGCTGAGAACCACTGCGCTTTCAGTACTCGGCAAGCTGCCCCTTCTCCTCCACGTGACGCGCGGCGAAACTCCAACAGGACACGGTGGAGTGCGTTGGAGAGGTGTAAAGGCAGCGGCAAGGCGGCACACAAAAAGTGCTGTCCCTTTCTTCCTCTCCGGAGCGCTGGCGCCTCGGCGGGGCGAACAGGAGCCCGACCAGCCCGACCCGACGCCTAGCCGACGCCCTCGGCGGCCTTCTGGAGGGCATTCCCCGCCGTCTCTTCGCCCCTCTCGCACTCACGCGCGCCCCGGTCCGCCCCGGCCTCCGTCTCTGTCCCGCAGGACAAGACCGCCACTAATGAGGTGTCCGCAGGCGCACTCATCCGCGTCACAGCGAGTGCGAGAGAGAGGGAGCCCGCGTTCGGGAAGGCTCGGCTGTTTCCGGAAACGGCCTCGGGGCGCCCGGCGGTCCCGACGGCGACGTCGCGGCGGCATCCCCCCCGCGGTTGGTTCCCAGGTGCAAAGGCACCTACGACCCGATTTGTTGCGTTTCGGGCAAATGCTAGGATTTTCGTAAATTTTTCACGTCCCTGCAGCATTTTGGCATCCACTAAGTCATACTGTACTTTTGTAAGATTGGTCAAATAAAGGGAGCGGGCTTGTTTTATTATGCTTTTATTGACTTCTAAATCAAGTTCACAGAACATTACAGGAGATAATTACATTCAGCATGCAGTCTTACAATACCAATATTTTCTTCTGCTGTTGCCTTACAGCTATGACAGTAAGTATCACACTGGGGCATTTAAGTTGTTAAGTAAACAAACAAAACAAGAAAGTTAGGCAAAATTTTAAAGGTTTTAGTTAGTTGGGTCCTCAACAAAGGAGCAGTAGGTAGAATCAAATAATACAATCTTCTTGTAATGTAAAATTTGAAATCCCATTCAGTTTTCATGATTTTTTAAAATATTGGTAAAGTCAAACGTTTACCAATTAAATTTCTCAGACTTTTCTTCATTGCAAGAGATATAGTTAAATTTATTAAATATTTTCTTCCCTTTTATACACTTTGAACAGACAAATATCAAATCATCACAGGAATCTCAAATGACCTTTACTTATTGGAATGAACTCAGAAGCTACGTAGTCCAAAGTTGCTCAGCAACTGTTTTTCACATAGGATAACTTGTTAACAGCGGTTTAAGGTATCACATTCAGTTATTCACACCAAAAGCAGTTAGGAACAAGACAAGAAAAACATTCTCATTTGTTCAACATATTCGGGGTGTTCAGTCAAAACTACAGCACACAAAATTATCTAAAACATGCACTCAGACATTCCTGTGTACTATACTATATCAAATTCAAATATAATAGGACATAAGTGCAATTTTATAAACATTGACACCATGATGTTTTGAGCAGAAGCCAAACACAAATATCACAAAGGGAATGCAATTTAGAAAAAAGAAAGGAATAAAACAAACACATGAAAGGTACACTGCAGACTGATCTACAGGTTTAGCAAAGAGCTTTTATTAGGATATTGCATGGCAGCATGGCTGCTACATAGCTGCAGTGCTTTTGAAACACATCACTCTGTGTGACTAAGCATAACTAGCAAACAGATATGGTATCAAGACGGGATGCTAAGCACCCATACTTCCCTCTGTATTTCCCCCTGGACCAAATGAATGGTGCAGAAGTCAAACAATTGAAATACATCAAAACCAGATGACTGTTTCAAGGACCTGTGGGAAAGAAGAACTAAAATATCACACTCTTCCAAGGAAAAATCCCAGCAGTAATATTAAAAATAATTAAATTGCTAAGAGTAAAGAAGAAAAAAAGTCCATGCAACACGCATTCTTCAGCAAAAGCAAGACCAAATCGAGATCACCAGGAGAATGGAAAATATACAGTGCATCTCACTTTAAATATCACTGGGAGATATATACTTAATTAAAATAACAATAAAATTTATAGCAGTCTCAGAGAGGCTAGGACATGGTACAATAATTCACTGAGTGTGCTGCTGTTGCTGCTGTGACTGCTTAGCAAGCTTTATGAGCTCAGCCGTACGGCCCAGAAGATCAAACTGTGATGGTAGAGGTAACTCACAATCAGAATCAGAACTATTATCACTGTCACTGCTATCGTCGTACGACCCCAGTCCTGGCAGGGTGCCGACACACTTCAGCCCTGATGGTAATATTATTCCAGCGGGTTTGATAATAGGCTCTGTTGAAGATACATTCTCAGCTGAGGAAAAAAAAATCAATTTAAGTACAATCAACTAATAAATGAGCACTCTCATCAAATTCATGTGTATTTGTAAGTTTAAAGTAAAAACTCACAAATTTCAGGATCAGATTTGACGTCTGGTTTGGTTTCAGCACTTTGAGATTCATTTGTTGAATCTTTTAGGTCTGTGTGAGCCTTTTTAGGTGGGGGTGAGGGCTCATTAGAAGATCTCTTCCGAACAACAGCACCAGCCAACAACTTCATTTGGGAACTGCGATTACTATTGAAAATGGGAAGAACCAGTGAACATAATGTGCTACTAGACACTATTTAGTCATGCTCTCAAAGATGAACTGTTACACTACCTTGCAGGCTTGCTAAGAGGGGCAGGATTACGAATCTCTGACTTCAATCTCTCCTCAACACTCTTTTCAGCTAAGGTGGCTACAGCATTGCGGAACTCATCTATTTCTTTACGTTCTTCTAATCGGGTTCGTTTCTCAACAGTTTCCTTTACCCTTTCGACAGTGTCTAAGAAGTCAACTTCGTCATCGTCAAGACCTCTCACCATGTTCTCTGCATATAAAAAATGTGTTTCAATACAAGAATGAGGAGCATCACAGGGCTAAAAACATTTGATTAAGAATAAAACATTCATCTTACTAAGCTTATGAGCCTCTTCAAACTCATCATCTTTCTTTTTCCGTTGCTCTTCCAATCTTTCAAACAAAGACCGATGATCATAAACTTCTTCAGGAGCCTCTGAAAAAGCCAATTTAAACATGTAAATAAACATCGAGATTATGTACCAGCAGTTACAGGGGATGTTCCTCACCAAGGGGCTGCTCTGCTGTTCGAACTTTCTCCCATTCTTCTTGTCGCTTTTGCCGCCTCTCCTCTATTTCTTTTTCAGTGACAAATCCAGAGCTCATGATGTCACCTGTAAGAAATGCAAGTGTGTTAGTGCAACGAGCTGTGGAAAGTGAACGCAAGCACAACCTAGCCTCAAGTGGTTGACGAGGTTCATGGCAGAAAGAATGTCTGAGAACACACATTGTGTGTGAGAGGTTCGAAGAAATAGACAGTGAACCAATGAAAACTGGTGAAAACAATTGAGTTATTTCTAAGATAAAAATTATCATTTCAGCCTTGCGGTCCACAAAGGATGCCGAACGCCAAACAAATCCTCCTATTTTACTTACCTTGCAGATATCTCGTAGCAGGGGGAACAAGATACTCAAAGCGAGTTTCCCGAAGACAAGCACCGGCAAAAGACAATTCAAAACATAGCAAAATCAATGAAAACACAAACAGGTTATGATGTTTGTGATGTTTGTGTTTGTGATCGCGAGCACGACCTCGTTGCCCTCTTGGACTGCACTCGAGTACTCGTTTTGAACCTCTTTGCAAACTTCTGATTCTTATACGGTTGTACTGGGAATATATTCAGCTTTGACAGTAATAATCGATTTCGCAAAGGTAAATAAAAAAGATACTATTGCGTTGTTTGTCTTTTTGTTGTTGGTAACAGCAGTCAGTCAACCTTCGTTTGTCTCGGTGTTCTTTTGTTCTTCTTAGCGCCTTTTTGACTCGTTCAAACACTATCGGTGGACTGTCGGAGAGGGTTTTTCATTTAGTTGAGGTGGCTTCCAGTCTGAATGATTACAGTAGTCACTTCCATTTTAAAGAATTGTTCTTTAATAATAAATAATGTAACCAAGTAATCTTCAAACACCATAGAAACAACACAACAACAAATAATTTACTAACAATAACAATGGAAACACTTACTAATCTAAAGCCCATGCGGGAAATGTTCCAAATAATCAGTCTGCCACGGTCTTTCCGATTGCGTTCAATTACGTATGACAACAAAACAAATAACTAGTGGACCATATTCTACGTATTCTATCCAAGAGCCCTGGTTTGCACAGCTAACTACAACCCCCCGAATGACGGGAATGACTAGAATCATAACAGAGACGCGTCTCTCAAGGAATGGTATCAGGCTGAGATCAGGCAAGCGGTGTGGAGAGTGTCCGTCGGAGGAATCAGGCCGCCGGTCTGCAGGTACAGGTGTCTCCCAGCTTCTCGTGGATCCAGGGCAGGAACTTGTGGACGCGAGTGTACACGCCGGGGAAGTTGGGGCGCGCGCACCCGCGTCCCCAGGACACTATGCCTGCAGCAAAAGGGAATCTGTGAGTGGATTTGAACCCGCGTTCGCAAGGGTGGAAAAGGAAGAGCGGTACCGACCGATCACTTCGGAACTGGGGCCGGACTCGGAGCCCAAGACGAGGGGGCCGCCGCTGTCACCCTGTCGAAAAAACAACGGTTAGTTCTCTCCCAGCCTGCGGCGTCACAGCCGGCGAGGTAGGCAGCCCAACGCACTCCCGGCCACCCTCGCCGCCGGAGGGGCAGGCAGCCCATCGCGCAGCCACCCCGGCCTTGGCCTTACCTGGCAGGCGTCCTTGAGCCCCTTGGGCAGGCCGGCGCAGACCATCTTGTCGGTGATGCGGCCCGACGGGTAGCCGGACTTGTGGCAGTCTTCCTGCGCCATCAGGGGCACCTCCACCTTCCGCAGCACGTCGGACGTGGGCTTGCGCTCCCCCACGCGGCCCCACCCCGTCACGGTGCCCGTCAGCCCCGCGTAGTCGCGCTCTGTCAGCAAGAGCAAGTTCAGGTTGGCGAGTGTGGGGCTGCACGCGGCGTGCACTAAGTGAAGCACCTACCGCCGGCGGGCAGGCACACGGTGCGGGTGAGTCCGGCCTCGGTGTCGATGTCGACCTCCTTGTCGAGCTCCAGGATGGCGATGTCGTTGTTGAAGTTGGACACGTCGAAGCGCTCGTGCACCGACACCTTGCTGAGCTTCCGCTCGACGCGGCCCGGCGCCCAGCGCGACGAGGAGCGGTTGTGCGCGCCCATGGTCACCGTGATGTCCTTGGGCGACATGCTGCGGCCGGCGTGCGGCCAGCGTGCGGCCAACAGCCATCGTCAGAAAGGCGGGGAAAGGGAGCCGGGAAACAGTGGGCCAGAAGACCGGTGGAGGCGGTCAAAGTTCCGGACACGTTTTGAACTCCAGAGTCGCTAAATGGGACTCGAATCGAACGGGTGACCCCACCAATGGACTGCTCTCCGAATGAGGAATCCATTGGTGGGGGTCACACGCTCGGTTAGCGTCTTGTTTAGCGACACTGGAGCTCAAAACACGTCTAGAGTTTTGGCCGCCCCCATCGGTCGTCTGGCCCACTGTGCGGGGCTCGAACCCGGGACACCCACCTGTACATGCAGTGGGCCGCGGTGAGCACGTGCTTGCGGGTGATGAGCGCGCCGCCGCAGTAGAACTTGCCCCTGCGCGCCAGCGCGGCCAGCCAGGGGAACTCGGCCTCCTTGGCCTCCTCGCCGCCCACGATGCGCGTCCGCCGCGACAGCCCGCACACTGGCAGGGGAGGGAAACACAACCTCAGCGTTGTCACATGGGTAGGCAGCAAACATTCCCACGGTGGTTACACCACGCTTGGCGTCCCTTCTAGAAGCAAAGCCTCGACATTGCGAGGTTGGCAACCCTTTCGAAACTCCCAGTGCGTGGTGCGAATTTTAGTGGCAGCACTGATTCAAAAGGCTCGGAATGGCGGGAAGGTCGCGCTCACCACAGCCGCAGTCGTCGACGGTCTCGGTGGCCGGCGTGGTGGTCGTGGACGTGGAGGTCTCGTTGTAGTGCACCTGCACGCTCGACGACGGCAGGGCGGGCACCGAGGCCTGCGCACACACAGTATGCCACTGATCCAAATTCACGAAAAACACGAGTCACCGACCGGGAATCGAACCCGCGACATTCGCTTTCCCGAGAGCACACACCGTGGTGGCGGCGAGCAGCGCCGCGGGCGCCGCGCACAGCGCTAGGAGCACGACGGGGAGCATGTTGGCGGCGGGGACGGCTCGCTGCAGCAGGATGGACGCACTCGAGCACCGCGAGGACGGCGACGACGACGGGGACCGAACGAGAGCGAACACGGGGACGGGCACTGCAGCTGCAGCTTGGTGTCGAGCTGGCTGTGGAGCTGGCCCGTGCGGCGCGCTGTGGGTGGCGAGGGAGACTGTGCCACCTGCAGCTGCCAGGGACCGTTTTATGCGTCGGAACCGCGACGACGACGCGACGCGACGCCCGCGGACGTAACGCGACGTAACAACAACAGCAGCAACAACAGCGCGCGTTGCAGCAGGTTCAATGGCACGGCCGTATGCAGACCCACTGCCTGCCGCCACGGCCTGCCGCCGCGGCCCCCACTCGCGCCGATCCCGTGTAGCGATCCGTTCAACCGATTAGTGCACGGGGATCGACCAGGCAGTGCCATCAACAAGTTTTTTAAGAGTAAATGAATTGGCAGGTGTAGATTGAACTCTAGGCTGTGGCAAAGCCACGCACGGTCTCGACAAGGCCCGGTCAGCAAGGTCAGCCCCGAACTAGTGTCACTGTGCTACAGGAAGCAGCCTCACTAAGGCATCCGCAGACACCTCCAGGCCGCTCGCAAGCTCAGAGTGAAAGTCGGCGCGCGTTGGCGAATCGCGTTGCGCGTTGCGCAGGGGTTGGCGGCATTTGAACGCCCCTTGCCTTCGGCGGCAAGTTCAAATCGCGACTGTGAGGGCACTGTAAGGCTGGGTGCAGTGGCCGCGAGGCCGTCGGCCGCCACGCCGCGAGTGTCGCGCGTCGAGACTCTCGAACGCGCTCCTCATTTGACTGCCGACCCAGCGAGGAAGACAATCGTTTTCGGCCGCGTCCGAAGCGCCTTCGCTTTGGCCGAAAATGAAATCCGGTGCGGCGGTCAGGACTTTTTCCGTTCGGTGAACTCGAGGAGGACGCTCCGAAAAGGCCTGCCTTTCGGCCTTTCGGGCGACGACTCTCGCAGTCCCCCCCTCCCCACTACCACCCACAACGGGAACATAAACCAAAATCCAAAATTTTCTAAAAACTTTTTCTTGCTGATCTTAACGAGGCGCAGTTCCGTTCCGATGCGCACTTTTGCGTGATGCACTTGGCGATGTGTGTCAAGACCAAGCGTGGCGACGCGTGGCGACGAACGACAGGACAACGACGCCCACCCTTCGGTCCTTCGGTCCGCCCGCATCTCACTCCGTCTCACTTCGTACTGCGTCTCGCTGTCTCACTACGGAGCCTTCCCGCCAGGGCGTCCTGCAGGGCCCCGGAACCATACCGCGGTGCACCGGGCCGAATGCCGATGCCTCGGCGCCTTCCCGTCCGTTTTCAAATTCCGTTTTTCGAGTGCACGCGCCTCGCAGGTTAGGTTAGGTGTCAACAAAGTGACAGCCCACGGCCGCGGCGCGCTGAAAGCCCACCGGAAACGCGTTGGCCAATCAAAACCGAAACGAAACACGATAACAAGCAGCGCGTTTTGGAAGAGAAGCGTTACTGCCAGACGGCTCGCGTTATCGGCAGGGCGGAGGACGCCACGCGCGCCGCGCCGTCAGTGTCTCGCGTCCAAATTTCCCGCCGTAAAAAGTTTCCCGCCAGAACGAGAGCGGGGCCTGCGCTGTAAAACTCTCCCGCTGCCTGGCAGAATGGAGGAGAGTTCGGAAACTCTGGTAACGGGTGGGTAGGCACCGGTAATTATTGGTGACTTTTCCTATGTCCTTCCGTGGCGGCACTGAACTGTACTTATGCGGTTAGGTTAGGCTAGGTTAGGTTAGGTTTGATGGTCATGAATGAGCAGGAACAGCACATGTCACACCACTACTGGCGAAAAACTCGTGAAAATTCCAGAAACGAACATGACTGTCTCCCTTCCCCCTCCTCCTGTCTGGCGGCCTGGCGGCGGTGCGGTGAGCCAAGGTGAGGGCCAGGGCCGCCGGCAGGGCGTCGCGCCACTGTTATCAACAGAGCTAGCGACGCGCCGCGACGCGCCGCAACACACGCCGCTAGTTTACTGCCAGTGTACGCGCTGAAGGCGCACGCACGCGGACTGGATTTTCGAACCGCTCGTATTGAGTTCACCTCTCATAACCCTTGGCGGTGTGCCTTCCCCCTCCCCCCCGGTGCCCAATGCACCGCCACTGATAAGGTGCAGCCGACCCGGGGCCTTGTTCCAGTAACCTTGCTCTCGATGCAAGGGTCTGCAGCCGGGTCTGCGTCCTGCCGAGTGAGTACACGGCGGAAAATTAGCTTTCGCAAATTTGGCGTCAGCGTTTGCCCCCCTGGTGGCCTATCAAGCGGAATTCGACGAAGAATTGAGAAGGCGCCACCTGTGTATCAAGGAATGCTCTCATACTTTCGTCTGTCTCTTTTTTTCTGTGTTCTTTTTTTTTCGCAGGTGGATAATGACCTGTAGTGTCATGCAAAACGCAGTTTGAGTCTCATGACTCGGGAGGCCTGGCTGGGGCATCCCCACACGCACACGCCTACACAGTCACGGCCAAGGACTCGGCTTTGTGAGGGAACACCATTTACCGGCGGGCGCAGGCGCTTTTCATCTTTCCAGAATATTAAATTTATTAAAAGAAGAAGCCCCCTAATGAATTCCCCTGGCGTCACCTGCTGCATGCGTGCCCCCGTGCCGTGCATGTGTGCCGTTGCCGCCCCGGGCAGCCCTGCGGCAAGGTGCGCGACCACCGCCGCCCCGAAGTGTGGGGCGGGAAGAAAAAAATCTCGAATGTGGGTCACGAACGGGACTGCGGCCCGCCGCGGCACGCCGACCCGAAGACCCGGACACGGAAGAGTTGGGTCGGGTCGCGTCATCATAACGCGGAACCTCACACCGCCCAACCCTCTACCTGGCCGGCCCGGCCCGGCCCGCCCTTGTGTATGGCATAACAGCCCCGTTAGGGTCAGGACCGGCAGGCCGGCGGCAGGCAGCCCTCAACTTGACCTAGTAATCGTGACCCCCACCAGGAAGTACACGGCCGTCGGAACCCGCTGCATGGCGGTGCCGCGCTCTAGGTCCCCGCGAAGGTTCCGCTGCTGCTGGAGGCCTAGAACACCGTGCGGTACCAAAAGTCGACCAAAGTCAGCAAAAACTACTACTTTCGGAGCTTTAATCACTTTTTGGCCATTTTTGCAAGGTTACTAGTCCCAAAATCGTTGAGGTCAAAGCCGGGGCATGAAAGACTTGCGTTGAGGGAGGTATTCTGGCCTCAGCTAGATTGGACGCAGGTGCCACCCAAAATCAGCAATATTTGATTTTTCGATCTTTTGGCAGCTCTCCGAGGCCGGCGTTGCATCCGAAGGCCGAAACCACCACAGCCCATTTTCAACAACACACATTCGATCACTCGGCACGTGTTCTACAAACCCACATATTCCCTTTTCCGCCCTCACAAAATGAGGTCGCCCTTTTTTCCTTCTTTTCTTAAAAACACACACACACAGTGTGCCAGTGCAAAAACGCGGTGCTGCTGAGTAGTGAAACTAGGTCAGAAATGCGATCGCTGGCGGCATCGTCGGATCAGCAGCCCCTCGTTCAAAGGATCCCACGCAACCCCGAGGACCATTAGCCCACCCTTCTCTGTTCCGGCTATCACGAGGTTACGCGGAAGGAGCGTGTGTGTGTGCGTGTACGTCGAGCTTGCCACGTCGTCCCGTTAGATGGGAGCGATAAAAAAAAGATCTGTCGATTCAGAGAATCACGACAATTTTGATTGGGGATCACGCAGCATTCCATTCTGCAGCTGTCTCGTTTGTCTTTATTTCTTTCTCTTTTCAGATGAGAGTGCCATGTAATTGAGGAACAGTCACACAAAACGCAAATAATTCAACACTTTGAAAGAATATTTTTGATTTATTATTCAAGTTAGTCTTTTGTACACAGTACACCGTCGTCGTCGCTAAAATAATATTAAACTTAAGGCTATTATCACAAATAAATTGGAGATTTTTTTTTCTGGTTCGAGATTTTGCACTTCCTCGCTCTTGATCCTTACGCTACTGACTAGATGCCACTCGAAACCTCAAAACAATTGATTATAACAGCCCCAGGGGACACTGTTCCAGGTGCAGGGCTCTAAGGGTGTCCCGGTGGCCGCTGGCGCTGCTGGCTGGGCGGCGCGGCGGCGTGGATCCTGGCCTCGTGGAGGTACTCCTTGAGGTCGGCGATGACGGTGCCCTCGGCGTCCAGGCCCTCGCACTGCACCAGGTAGCGCTCGGCCTCCAGGATGCAGGCGCGGTAGCTGGCGTCCATGACCGGGTCCACGCCGCGGGGCAGGCTCTCCTCCCAGTCCTCGTCGTCGTCCTCGTCGTTCTCGACGTCCTCGTCGTCCTCGTCGTCGACGTCCTCGTCCCAGCCGGGGATCATCTCGGACAGCAGCATCTCAGCCAGATCTATGGAGGGAAATGCGAAGCTAGAAAACGGCCGAATGGGCGCGGAGCAGTCACTGAAGAGAGACAAAGTGTCACCACTCACCGTACAGCTGGCTCCTGTCCAAGGGCACCAGCGACATGAGCGCCGCCGTCTCGTTCATGGAGACGTTCATGGCTGCGTCGAAGGCGTCGAACGTGTCGCTCGTCATAGGGCCGGGTCCCTTGGCGACCTGCAACAGGAATGCACCGCTTTTAGCACCGATCCCTCTTTATCCTGGACTTCTCCTTCTGACCCTCCACTGCAAAACCACTGCAAGGCCCGGTTCGGTCCTGCGACGGTGCGATCCAGAGAAATAGAGAGGACCTTTTTATCGCGACTGGATCGCAGCATACGGCGAGCTCTTCCGAACAGTCGCTGTCTCTCTCGCACTCATCGGGTGCGCCTCAGAGTGCGAGAGAGACAGAGCGACGAACCTCTGTGCGGAATGAATCGCTCTGCCGGCCGGCCGGTGGCCGGTCAGCCGGTCGCCTTTTGGCGGTGGTGGGGGGAGCAGGTGCGAGCAACAGCACAGCACGCGGGAGGGAGCGAGAGAGAGGAGAGAGAGGGAAGAGAGGGGGACGGTCACGCCCGTGCGCGCACGCCTCGCACGCCGCACCGCGCGGTCGCGTGTTGCCGGCACGCGTCGCGCTCCAAGACGCACGCGCGCGCCGCCGGGGGTACACTGTAGCTCACTGTTGCGAGCACTGTTAAAAAACAGTTTAAAGTAGTGCCAAAGGTGGAAGGTGAATAACTCGAAATGAAGCGATTTACTCGATTTCTCAATCAAAGCGCCTGGATGGTCTGCCCCGGGTCGGCTTGGGGCCAGGGTGAGGGTGTCGCACCCGGGGAGCGGCGGGTATCCTAATGGGTGAGCCCAGGTAAAGCAGAAGCCAAGAAAAGGGAAAAGGGGCCTCCCTTCCTCTCTTTGAAAGGAAATAATAATTTGTAAAAGTAGGTCGATCCCGCTGAACCTGGCGCCGCCAAACACACGGGACTATTAGGAAGGTGTCAGCCCGTCGTCAGGAGCGTCCAGGAACCACGTAACAAACAGCGCGATGACCTTGCCAAGGACAGGCGGGGGTGGTGTATGGAGGTAAAGCGAAACCAAATACACTTTCTTCAACTCAATGAATGACTTCCTCGTGGCGGAAAAATGAATGACTTGCACACGGCGACACTTCGTACGGAAAAAGTCGAAAAAGTCTTGAGGACACCAACACTGTGATCACCATGATCTCCCTAAAGAGAGAGGACGTCCTTCCAGTGGGGAGGGACGACGTCGGCGTGGTCCTGGGGGTCATCGCCGTCCTTACCTGTTGCTCTGTGAAGGGCGGTGCCGGCGCGTCCTGCCACTGCATGGCGGTGCAGGGGTCCTCGACCAGGGCCTCGACGACGTGGACGGGGAGCGCTGCAGCCTCGGCGACCGTCCTGGGGCAAGTGCCGACACACACTGGTGACTGGTGTGGTGGTGGTGGAGCAGAGCAGCAGCCAGCAGGAGCAGGCCCAGACGAAGGAGGGAGCCGCGACGGACGAGCAGGCAGACGGAGTCCAGACGGGACGGGGCGGGGAGAGGGGGAGGAGCGGTGGGGTCGTCCAGGTGCACTACCCCCTCCACGGCGGCCACGGCGGCCAGGGGGAGCGGCGGCCTAGCGGCGGCGCGCGCGGCAGCTGTGCAGCAGGCAGGACCGCCGCAACTGGGGCGGACTCACTCGACAAATACGCGGATTCTGCGTCCGGGTCGCCGAGGACGACGTCGGCGACCGGCGTGACCAGTCCGAGACGAGCGCGCACCCCTTCACCACCCCGTCGGACCCGTCGCCCCGCCGACGACGTGCACGTGCGGAATGCAACCCCTGCGCATTGCGGACGTACACTAGAAAAATATATAAAAATAAATGCAACAGTGTAGCACTGGGAAAGGCACGGACACCGAAAGAAGAGGCGAAGGAAAGTGATGGTTTTTTGTGGGTGTTTGCTGAAAGATCAGGCCAGCGTAAGGTGCGCGCATCCGGCTCTAGGGCGCTCCCCCCACCCCTTTCCCTGCAGGGCTTCCGGGTCGGTAGGCCCCTGCGTTCAACACATGTGGCGGGGAAGACAGGCGCCCCTGGGTCACTGAACCCCGCGCATGTACTACGTCTCCAAAACGAACTTCTTGAGAAAATGCTCGAACTTTTGGACGGTTGAGACTTTAATTATTTCGCACCCGGAAGACTTCGATCTCCGAGCAGAGGTGATGATGAGTGTGATGATCGTGGACTGCCGTTATGATTGGAGGTGTAACCCTTTTGATAAGAGTGGCAAGGCCAGGCAAGGCCCTGACAGGCAGCCCCGCACTTAGCACCTCCTCGTTTTCGCTTACAGGTCAGGTCAGGTAGGCGGACACTCGCTCGACCCGGGAAGAGGCCCATCAGGTTGTTGACATTTTTTTCTTCACCTCTCTCTGTCTCACTTCCCTTCCGCCTGGAAGAGTCTTTTCAAGGGAAAGAGCAACTCAGACACAAGGATTTTCATCGTATATTTTTTATTAATCTTTCAAACTCTATACAATTTGTTAAAAAGGCGCGAGCCATGGTATGACTAGATGAGTAAGGAAAAGTCCATGTTGACTAGAATAATACGTTTGACTTCAACACCGATAGGCCTGTGAGGGATACATATGAGATCAGCGACGACAGTGAACAAAATCTTTGGCTACATTATAGTCTGAGGATACATTATTTTATCATGGGAACACCACAGGTATCTTTTCAGCGTACTTGTTCAGTAACATTGCAGTATTATTAGCTCCGCCGGCACTAAGTCTATCTATACAATCGTTAGACTATTGAAAATAGTAAACGCCCGCTAAACTATGCAACAAAGCAAAGAGTGGACAGCGATACACCACGAATAGCGCGCGTGAAAAAGTGAAAACCATATTTATGATAGAATAAGATTGGTCCAAATTCTTTGGTTTTTAAACGTCATTTTGATGGCAAAAAACGGTGAGGCTTTCCAGGCAACCATAGAAACAGCTCAGACACAAAGTAATACCATAGTGTTGATAAATCCTCCAACTTGAGCTTCGTTTTTTTAAATTTTTCATTTTAGATAAGGCTTAATTGTGAAATGAAGTGGTGTCCGTTCGGCCCATTAGGCTGGACTTAAGGCACTGATAAGTAATGATATGACGATAGTTGTTCTGCAGCCGCGGTTCCCTAGAAAGTTGGCAGTGCACTGCAAGGCGTTCTCCATGACGGACGCACACTGTGAAGTGCGTTTGAGAAGTACACTCCCTGCCAGGCGAACCTGCTGGCGCGCTTGGCAGGGAGTGTACTTGACAAAGGGGCTGCACAGGGCGCGTCCTGCCCACTGCCGGGGTTTCTATAGGGCACGCGACGCAGCTAGCGCGACTAGAATAATTAGTGAGCTCTCTGGATGAATCAGGAAAAAAAATTACCTCTCTTCGCGTCCCAAGAAAGGGCAATCCTTTTCTACCGAACCTACTGCGGCTATAAAATAAGTAGCAGCCATCGCCACTTGGCGGCGCGGCGCCCTGCGAGTTCTTCAAACGGCGCGACAAAGCGCGCCAAAACGGATTTCAAACTCGGAGGGCAGGTGGGCGGGCCGGCCGGCCAAGTTCGTTCGCTAAAAGGCACTCTCTTTGAAGAGGGTGAATGAGTGTGGCATGTACTCTTCGTATAAAGGCACGAACCTTGAATACCAGGGGGAGGGGGATCTCGGCCGTGTTCTCTGTCGCGGAGAACTCGGCCCGATCGGAGAGACAGACAAGGACAGTCTGCGTAGTGGGGAAGTTGAAGGGAGGGCGTTAAGTCTTCAAAAAGTGGCGGACCACTCCAAAGGCACTGACATCAGACGAAGACGTTCATTAAATGGCGGCGGGTGGGCGGCGAGTCCTCGCCTCGCGGAGGAGCCGTTTCGACCGTCTCCCTCAAAAGTCGATTGTTCTCAGAGCCACTCGCGGCGCTGACTTCTCGACCACTCGCGAGATTCAAAACCCTCCAAGGTGGAATTTCGCGAGCCCAACAGGAAATTTCTTTTCCAGACTTCACGCGCCACCCGACCGCCAATCTACCTCTGCATGTAAAGTATTATAAAATGTTGCTGATTTTAGTTTGGTCTGTGAACTAACGGCTAAGACTTGTTTTACGATACAATGAGCAAGTAACCGTACGATTACATCAAGGCACGAGTCATAAGGCGGGGTCCAAGTGTCACCGCGGGAACCCAAATAGCGCTCACAGAGTTTTGCTGGAATTTTTTTCCTCATTTCAAAATTATTTTTCTAAATTGCGAATTGGCAGTGCTTAAAAGAGCAGCTCCTCCAAATATATGCAACTTTTAAACGCTGTACTACGGTTTTGAAACGTGTTATTCCATGGATAATCACTGGCCACATCTTTGCATAAAATGTACAGTCCTGTCGCAAAATAATATTAACAGATTATAAGAGATATTTTATAAACTATGTACATGACGAGAAATCTTTGTGGAAGTACGGGCCCGATTTGGCGTGAGAGCCTTGTCGACAGCATCACACAATAACGAATTAAATAAAAGAAGAAAATAAAGACAAACAAACCCCGAGTCCTTCAAACTCAGGACATCTCCCCCAACCCGCCCCTCCCAAACTCTATCCTCCATGTTTTCTATATCACAAAATATATAAAATGCCTGACAAACTTTGGCACGAGACACGATGATGAAATCTTCGTCGTCCTCAAGTTGAGAAATTGCACGCTCCCCGGGTAGTGCACTTACTTGCGCAAAATACTTGTCCAGGAGAAAAATCATGAAAAAAATGGTTACTTCCTTGTTTGATTTTCCTTTCCCCAATCACAGAATGTCCCCGTCGGCGAGTCCGTCCGTGGTCCCCAGACTGTCCGCGGTCCCCGCAGGTGCAGGCGTGCTGGCCGGTGGCTCCGATGTCGGAAGCGGTGGACGGGGTGGTCGCATCCCGCGCGTCCTCGCACGTGGCGTGACACGTGTCGTGACGGGCTGGTGGTGACGTCACGTGGTCGGCACACCTGGGCGCGAAACCGGAGCCGCGCCTACCTGGAGTAGTGCAAGTCGACGCCGCGGAAGTAGTGCTGCAGGAGCTGGCTCTGCTGCAGGTGCTGGTGCTGCCGGCGGGACTCCTCCGCCATCTCCAGGGCCGCCTGCCTCCTGGTGAGGTGCGCCGTGAGCGCCAGCACGCGCGGGTCCGCGGTGGGCGCGCCTTCCGCCTCCACCAGCACGCGCAGCGCCTCGTGCAGGCACGACCGGTAGCCCTGCAGCAGCACCTCGGGGCTGCCGGCTGAGGCCCCCAGCGGCCCTGCCGAGCACGCCAGCAACGGCCCCATCGTGCCCATGGTGAACCTGCGGACAGAATGACAGTTAGAAGAGAGAGAAGCGAAGACGGTCAAATGGGGAGCTACGCCCCCCAGGCACGGAGTATCGCCGAGCGTCGCGGGGTAGCGCCGCGTGGCCGCGCCAGCCGACTGGTGCTGCCCTCCGCGGCGACGGCGCGAACCTCGCGCCGGGCAGGCGGGGTTAGTCGATAGGGTGAGGGGTGGTGGTGGTGCGGCACTGCAGTGTGCAGTCTAGTCCTGCAGGACCCGACGAAACGCATAAAAATGAAGCCAACAAAAAGCGTCTGTCACGGCGTGCGACGGTGTCTGCCTGCCGCCGGCGAAACTGCAGGAATCAACCGGGGAAGCGGAGTACACTGACAGACGGCTGTGCGGGTTGGAACCGCCAACCTCGCAACCCTGGGGGATGACCGCAGGGAGCGGAGGGGGAGTGCTTTGTTGCATCCTCGGGTGGTCCAACCTTCCGGTCAGGACGGCCTTAAGATTAATCCGAGGGTCAGGACGGGGCACTCCCAGGGCCCGGCAGCCCAGTGCACCCCCAACACGGCAAGGGTGTGGTCAGCCTGACGAGGCCTGTCCGTCTGGCCTGTCCAACATGGCGGCCCTGGCCGAAAGGGCCCACGGCACCAAGACGCCCCATTCCCCATTTCGAGCGAAACCGCCGCCAAGGCTAGCCCTGCCCGCGGAGGTTCAAGACCAAACCCCAAAACCGGAAAACCGGCTCGCCTTTCCGGCCAGGGGGGCGGGGGGCGGGGTTTACCGCACTGCGGCAATACGGCCTTGGTGGCCTTGAGGCACGCCGTCAACAAAGCACGCTGGGCGACGACCGCGGCGACGCGACCATTGTTGGCAGACACGTACTCGTCAGCGCTGTCAAACCGCCCACCTCGGCCCGCGGCCGGCCTGGCCTGACCGCGGCCTGCACCAGCCTGGACAGGGCCTTTGACAGCCGTCAGAGCTGTGGCTCCACGGCCAGGACACGCACCACCATCCACGCACCCGCAGCGCAAAGCTACGCAAAGCCCCATCGCAGTACTCACGTTAGCTCCGAATCAGCTGGGCTCCTTGACGGCGAGCTCGCCCTCGGCGTGGTCCTCTGTCCTCGCGGTGCGTCCTGCGTCCCAACCCGACGGCGACTGAGCCGGGGCAGGGCAGGGAAGGCGAGGGGCGGGGAGGGGGAGGGGAGGCACCAGCGGGGTGGAGAGTGTGAGCGACCCGACAGCGCCGCCGCGCAGCCACGGCAGCTACGCGCAGTCAAACTGCCCCCACCACTCCACCCCTTCTGTGCGCTATGTTTATCTCCGTCCCTCCCTCGCCCGACTCGCGCTCTCTCTTTCCTCCTGCCCCTTCCCTTCCCCCTCTCTCTCCCTCTCTCTCCCTCGCGCGAGCGCACTCACCCCCTCAGCCGCCGCGGAGAGCCGACACCCCCCTCCCCTCCCCCCGCGGCGTCCTTCCCCGCGACCACATGGGCAGCTCGCTGCCTCCGTCTGCAGCACACACACACACACACATACACAGACGCAATAAACTTGCACGCACACACTCGTGCGTGTGTCTGCCGTTTGGCTCCAGACGTCTCACTTCTTTCAGGCCTGCTCCAGAGACTCCCCCCTCCCCTTCCCCCTCTCGCCGCCGGGCTCGCTGGGCCCCTTGGAGACCACGGCGGGCGAGGCGGGCGATGTAAACATATGTTCCACACGCGATGATCCGGCGCGTCGGCTCTCGCGGCTTTCGGCTCCGGCGTCGTCGACTTCTCCGGAGTCCTCCGGGGGCGAGTTCCGGCCGTCGGAGCGCGAAGCTGTCCGTCATGACGATCTGGAAGGGGAAGGGGCCGCCTCCGGGGGCACACTGTACACGCGTGGCAATGTCAAAACGGCTGGAAAAGTGAAAAAGAAACGCGCAGTGCGCCGCGCGCCATGATGGAGCGATTTTTACAGAGTCCCCACGACGATGCCGCGGGCGACCGGGCGATCCATTTTTGTGCGGGCAGAAACGAGATGGCCCCGAGCGGAACTCAATGAGATGAACGGCAATGCGCTTCCGGCCCGCATGGCGGCCGCGGCGGCCACCACGGCCACGACGCCGAGGTGCAGCGTGCAGTGCAGGCCACGCGGCCACGCCGCCGTGCGGCCATGCGGGCGGCAGGGCCGGGCGGGGCGGCGGCGGACCGCCGAAGGGGCCTTGCGGAAGTCCTCCAGATAAGAAAGGATCTGGAGGCTGGGCGATACCGCAGCGCTAGCGCTACTGTACTGGGCCGTCTCCGAACGGCAGCGTCGCTCTGTCTCTCTCGCACCCATTACTGCTCGAGAGAGAGACAGCGCTTGTTCGGATTCAGGGGGCGTGTGCAGGCGAGCAGGGCGAGCAGGCCCCGTCGGGCCGGCCACCGGGACTCATTCCGAACCGTGTGCTCTGTCTCACTCGCACCTCCACGGAACGCCCCCAAGTGCGACAGAGACTGCGCGGGTGGGATAGCTCGCGATAGCCCGTCGCCACGACCTCGCTTGGCCGGCGTCACGTTGCCCGTGCCAGTCCTTATCATTGACTGTACCATAACCCAGCAAAGGAATCCGAGTCCAGAAAATACTGCAAGTTGATGGGTTTTTCCTGCTGAACGTGGTGTGTCTTTACGTTGCCGCAAGAACGAACCACAACCCAGCTCAGAACGCGTCATCGTAATTAGCCCACACGGTGCCACCTGGTGGGGGCGGCTGAGGGGATGAGTGAGTGAGAGAGACAGAGAGAGAGAGAGAGAGAGAGAGAGGAGAGAGAAAAGAGAGAGAGACGCTGTCATTAGAAAGAGAGAGGGCGAGAGGCAACCCCGCACCGCGCGTCCACCGGTGCGGATCATGCACAGGCGGCTGACGCGTGCTGCCACCCTGCGCGGACTGCGTGGGCTGGTTTACCCCCCCCCCCCACCCCCCTCCCCCTGCCGAGGGAAGGTGCGCACGAGTGCAGCCGATGCACCAGCTGGCGTGTGATTCAGAAAGCCGGTTCGACGAGATATGCATCGTAGAAACCAAAACGTCCTCGTACAAGTCCTTTTTCGATTTCTTTCGATTCGATTTTGGTTGCCTGGAGGCACGTTGCTGTCGCCTTGGCGCGCCTTGGCGGTGCTGCACACGCCGTCAGACGGCGGCACTTCGCCGCCGTTGAATCCTGCATGGCTCCCATTTTTCAGCACCGAACCTCATTTTCATCTCATGAATGTTGCGGGCGGCACTGCCAGGGCGGGGCGGGGGGCAAAATAAAGGTAAGGCTGCTCGCGGTGGAGGTAAAGAGGGCCATGCTTCTGGAGCCCCGCCCGGGACGGCCCGGGAGCGGAATAATACCCGTCAGAACGGGGTGAGGGCGTTGACCCCCCAGCGCTGCGTTCGAACGCCCAGCCCAGTTTGCCTCAGGCTTGCCAGAGGCTGCAGGCCAAGTCCCCCCGAAAGCCGACTTGCCCGCGGAAAATGAAATCAAGCCCGAGGCGACAGCGCAGCGCGCCAGCCCTCACAGTCGGGAAAGCGGGAAATGGCGCAGGCTGTCGATGGGGGCGAAACCTGACCACCGATATTGCAACCGATAAATATTCGGCCCGGAACTGGGCCAACTCGACCGCAAGGCTACAACACCCTCTCCCCTCTTCCCCCCGCCCGGCCGACCTCCCGATCACCTCGCCCGTATTGCGGCAGGACAAATGGAACAGAAGAATTAAACGGCGGCCTTTCTTGGCAGGGACGCCGACGAGGAGGGAACAACGGCTGCAGATTGGAACCGTTCGGCCGATTTGGAGTGCCGGTGTGCCCGGGCGGCGTGACAGTTTCAAGTTTCAAGTTAGGGGTTCAACTAGCAGCCTTGAGGTAAGTGGAAGCGAAATGGCACGATCATGCGTGGTTTAGCCTCTAGTGGTAATGGCAATGGAGGGCGTGGGCGTGCCTGATGGGATGCCTACCTCGCCGGCGCTCCCACTGGCCGCGGGTGCCGCGGGCAGCGCGCTGCGGGCAAGCCGCCCACCATTTCTACCCTTTCGTCGCCGTTTTGACCGACTTCGCGGTCCCGGTCAGAATGCTCCCATAGTGAGGCGCGAAAATGCCTTCTGTAGAAGAGGCATGCTAAAAGAAGCGAGTTTAGAATGCTGTCTCGGCTTGTTCGTGACTTATTGCGTGCGGGGTATCGTCCTCGTTTCGTCGCCTGGCCAGCTCCAACTCGGGGCGGGAGGCCTCAGCGCGGTCCAAAGTTTGGCCCTGGCCCTGGCGTGCCCGATGAGCGAAAGGAGATTATTTTGTTCCGTCCTTTATTCCGGGGCCTCGGTCTTCCGATATTACCCCGAGCACAAAGGTGGAGTCCCGGGGCTTTTCCGGGGTCCCTGCGTGCTGCCCAAACCGGCCCCCACACCGGCCCCCACACCGGCCGATCAAAAGCTCCATTTCCAGGCATCATCCGAATTTAAAGCTCAAAGCTTCAAGCCGCTACCGGCTGGCGTCCCAGCCCCCAGACAGCCCGCCAGCCACAGGGGTGCACAGGGGACTTCCGGGACTTCCCCTCCCCCCGTTTCCGGGTCCAAGTCCGGCCCGCCCTTTGTCCGCGCATTACATGCTCTGTCGGATCTTTTAACTTGCTCATTTCCACTTTCACTTTTTTCTAATTTTTCCCTTTAAAAAAAATTACCCGAGAGTCCTCTAACCAGGACGACGCGGGTACATCCACCTCGCCTCCGCCGTGGAGGTAACATAATTAAAAGTTTGACCCAAAGTCGCCTTTTTCTTGTCCTCCCGCGCAGAAATGCCGCGGGCCGCGGGCGAAATTCTGCCAGCAAAAACAACAACAGCAATAACAGCAATATCGCCGCGCCCGGGCAATGCCGGCAACGTGAGGGAATAAAAAGAATGCAAACAAGGAAACAAATTTGCTCCAAGATTCGCTGCGCGCCGCGCGCCGCGCCAAGAGCTGCAGAGGGAACGTTATAAGCATCGGGGGCAGGCAACTGAGAAAAATGTGTGTGTGTTGCCTTCGTGTGGGCCTTCATGTGGGGGAGCAGGGAGTCAAAGTCGGGGGCCTTCTCGTCGGCCCTTTCTTATCCTGGACACACACACACACACACACACACACACACACACACACACACACACACACACACACACACACACACACACACACACACACACACACACACACGAGGGAGGCACGCACAAAGCCACGCCAACGAACCGCGCCAAGTTTTGGCCGCGGTCTGTGCCGCTCGTGTCTGCGAAAGAAAATTGAAAACGGTATCGCGGTTTTTCCTGCGCAGAAATTCACTTTCTCTTGGCGCAAGGAAGTCCTATTATGGCGTCGCGGCGAAACTGGCGAGGAGTCAAGGGAGGTCCGGGGGGGGGGGGGGGGGGACGGCATTACCGTGCGGGGCTGCGCCCGGCTGCGGTCCAAAAACGATACCTCGTGTCGGCCCGGCCATGGCTAAGGCGTCTGGGCGCGCCTGGGCCCAGGGCAGGGTCCAGGGCTCGGTCCAGGTGAGGGAAAGGGCTGTTGCAGCCCGGCTGAGCTTTGGCACGGTGCCGCGATACGCCAGCCCCGGCCAGCCCCGGCCAGCCCCCCGCAGCGTCGGCAGCAACAACGCGGCCAAAACAAGAAAAATGGCTCTCCGCCCCGGAAGAACGGGCATAATGAGCAGAATAACGAAAAGGAGCGAAGTTCCGGGTTCCGCTAGCGGAGCTCCAGCGCGGCGGCCGGGCACAAAGACGCGGGGCAGCAGCGGCCAGCAGTCGGATCAGGAGCAGATTGGAGGAGAACAGAACGAGGGGCGGGCAGGACGTAGCGAATGAGAGGGAATGCACACACACGCAGACACACACACGTGCGCGCGGAAGCGTCTTGTGGCAAGTTGCAGAAAATGATAGATGGCGCAAGAGGTAAGACGAGGAGGGCGGTGGTGGTGCGGCGGCGGTGTGGCGGGGGTGTGAGAGAGACGGGGCGCGCGCCGCCGTGTTGACGGCCGTGGAGAGATGGAGAGAGAAGGGGTGGCGCTCGATGCTGGCGGCACGGCGTCGTTTCCATGGCGACGGGGGCCCAGGCAGGCAGCCCAGGCAGGCAGGCCCAGCCTCCGCGCTGCCGCGCTGCTCCACAGCAACAGAAGGAGAGGTGACGGTGGCGCCAGCCTGGGCGGGGCGGCGGGGCGGCGGGGCGGTCGGGGGTGGCGCGGGGCGCGCGGGCGGCGCGGGCCGGGTCGCTCTGGGGGTGGCTGGGGCTTGGGGCTGCCGCCTCGCTGCCGCCGCGCTGCCGCCTCCCTGCCGCTCCAGCCGCCGCTTTTGCACCGGAGTGTCCAGCTGGAGGCCCTCGCGCAGCCCGGCGGAGCCCGGCGCAGCCTCGCAGGGCGGTCCTGGCGGTCCGGGGCGCTAGTCCGCCAGTCGGCCGCGAGACGCGAGTCGCGAGCGCGTGCTCGCTTGGTGGTGGTGCGCGCGGCGGGCGATCTTCGCCTGCTTCGCGCGCGTCGTCACCCTGCACGCGGCCGTCGCCGTCCCGGTGTGGGCCGCCACTGCCGCCAGGGCCCGCGATGCTGGCATGGCCCCGCCCCGGTGCCCCCTGCTGCGGTGCTGCTGCGGCGGCGTGGTGCACGACAGCGACGCGGTGGACGCGGTGCAGGCCGCCAAGGCCGCCAAGGCCGCCAAGAAGGCCGGCAGGGGCTGCACGCCCAGCTGCGGCCAGGCCCTGGGCCAGGCCGCCGACGCGCTGCCCTCCTACTTCAGCGAGCCACCGCCGTCCTGCAAGAAGCTGCTGCGGAGGCGCGCCGGGCCCAGCAAGGTGAGCGGGAGGGTCGACCACCGCGTCGTCGCCGTCGTCGCGTTGCCATGGCGACCGGACTCGCGCCGCGCCAGCGCCGGCGAGGCCCTCGCTGAGGCCACCACGATAGGGTCATGATAGTCCGTTTTCGTCGCTTTGCCTCTCTCGCGCAGTGCAAAACTCGCAGAACAGCGAACCACGCGCGGATTGCCGCAGTGGCGTAGTGTTAAAACCATCTGCGTTGCCGCGCTCGTCCAGGATCACGTCGAGCGAGGGCGCCGACGACGACCGTACGAGAGGACGAGGACGGTGGACAATCCGGAGGCCAAAATAAAAGCACTGCCGCTCGTGTTGACCCTGCACTGTCCACTGTCCGCGCCCCAATCAACGAGGACAGCGACGGACAGGCGGACAGACAGGCAGACAGGCAGCGCGAACAAACCGGCGGCGACTCCAAATCAAATTTTCCCGCTCGCGGCCCGCGGGGACGCGAGGTCGGATTTATGTAGATTAATCGCCGCCCACGCCGTCCCTTTATCAATTGGCCAATGATAGCGCGGGGGGCCGTGTCGCCCAGCAGTGACACCCTGTCTGTCTGTCTGTCTGTCTGTCTGTCTGTCTGTCTGTCTGTCTGTCTGTCCATGTCTCTGTCTGTTTGTCGGGAAATGCTCCGCGGTGACCGGACGCCTGTGGTTCGCCGGGTAGGCATCACCGACACCGGCGTGTAGTCGGGGTTGCCTACTCGCCGGGCGATTGCGATTGCGATTAATGCCTGGACCACAAGTGATCGTCTGGCTTTCGGGCCCGCCCGGTCATGTCGGTGATACACCAGCACGTGACGGGGCGTCGCCAACGCTCTCGCCTGTCTGTCTGCCTGTCTGTCTGTCTGTCTGCCAGTGCGCGCGAGGCAAACACTGCCTATTGGCTCCAACGCGGCCCCAGGGCGGCGCGTGGCAACGAATCGGCCCCGAGGGCAGCTAGGCTCGCAAATTGCCTATCAGTTGGCAGTGTCGCAGTGCGAATCGTTCCGGGTTCCGGCCGTCCCGGCCCCGCCATGGCCTCCACGGGCCGCGGGGGCCGCGGGGGCCACTCCGGCCACTCCGGCACGCCGATGGGCGCACTAATGGCCAACTAGGTCGAGTCGCCGGACGCGAGGCGGCGACGCGGGCGACGACGCGCCGCGACGCGCGGACGTGTACTCAGTTCAATTGCTTTTCCGTGCCCGCTCGCTCTCGGCCCGGCCTCGTTTTCTTGTTTTCGTCGGAGGCTCCATCGACGCGCTCGCAAAATAACAGCGGGAAAAAAATTTGAGGGAAAAATAAAGCCCATGGCGCGGGCCGCGCGATGTCGGCGAAATCATTTTCCAGGCATCGACGCCGGCAGTTTTTGTTTTAGTTATCATCTTTTTTTCGCGAATAAAAAAAAGTCGGTGCAGTCTTGCGAATGAACGAGGCAAACCGACTCTTGATGAAGTGCGCGGCTGTGCTGCTGTGATTCGATTTTGATCTCCTCAGCGGAGCGCCCCAGTATTTGTCTGTCTGTCCAACTTGCGCATGTCAGTCTGTCTGCGTGCCTGGTGGCGTGTTTTCAAACCCCAATCGGATTGAATGGCGTGCTCTTGGCAACAGCCCGGCCATGCTGCCGTGCTGTAGCCACTGAAAATTAGCGCCCCTTCAGCACTAGCGCGACGTGCTCCCATTGTTGCGGCCAGGCGCTCGGTTCGAGTCCTGTTTAGCGACTCTGGAGCTGGAGCTTGCTGGAGCTGAAAACGCGACTAGAGTTTTGGCCGCCCCCACCGGTCTTCTGGCCCTCCGTGGGGCAGCAGCACAAGGCGGCGACCCCTAAAGGTCGGAAGCGGGCGGGAAATAGGGTAGGTCCCCGGAAGGATCAGGGCAGCAATGCCGCAGCACCGGGGGTATTTCCTGTCGTGGGGGAGGGCCTGGCCGGCCTGGCCGCGGACCGCAGCCCGGACCTCAAGTACCCCATAACCTCAGAGGCAACGGCAGCCCGGGGAGCCAGCGCCGTTGCCGCTCGGCGGGCCCGAAGCAGGTCCCCAGGAAGGACGGCGAGTTTGTCCCCGTCGGCCAGGGCGACGGACAGACGGACGGACGGATAGACAGACGGGGCATAAATGCAGGCCGCGCATTAGCATAGCGACCCAGACCCAAGCCTGATGAATGTCGCCGGCGTCGCCAGGTAGGGGCGGCGAGACTCGGACGGACTTGGCGCCACCATCCCCCGCACTCACACACCCACACACCCACACACTCGACGCGGCGTCTTTGTTTTGTGGGATTAACTCATCACTTAGTTCTGCTCCGCCTTGCGAGGGCCCGGCGAGGGGCCCTGCGAGCCCTTCACGCGCCTCGTCGGCCTCGACCCTTACAGTCCTTTGCCGGCCGGCTAGCCGCGGCAGGACCAGCCCTTTGGACCAGCCCTTTGGACCAGCCCTTTGGACCAGCCCTTTGGACCAGCCCCTTGGACCAGCCCTTTGGACCAGCCCCTTGGACCAGCCCTTTGGACCAGCCCTTTGGACCAGCTCTCTACGCCCAGCCATTGCGGTTAGGACGGATGCCTACCCTTGCGGTCCTCGTTGGTCACTCGCACTGAAGGAGGCTTCGTTTGCGCGCGCGCTTGTGTGTGTGTGTGTGTGTGCTGTTTTTTGGTGGGGGTGGATTCAAAAAAGACGCTCAAAAACTAATCCCCGATTGCGACGAAACGTTGAGGGCGTGCTAGTTCCCGATACGGTCCGAACATCTCAGTGCGTCCGCCGTTCAGGATTTTATCTCATTCTATTTGCTGTGGTTTGGCCATTGTACCCCCGCCCTCCGTGCATCCATCCCCCCCCCTCCCCCTCCCCCGCCTCTTCCGTCTCTGAGCCCCGATTTAATTGATCACATAACGCGATTAGGCCGTGATAGCGTTTTCGGCGCGTCTTTCTCCAGTCGACCGGGAGGACGCAGCTCAGTCCTCCACCCCACCACTTGTTGTTGTTGTTGTTGTTGCACCTGCTCCAGTACCGGCGGGCCGGCAGCGTTGAAAAGGTACCCGTCCGACCGCGTGGTGGCTGCTGCTGGCCCCACACTGCACAAGCAGTGGAGTGTGAGGGGAGATAGCGGCAGTCCTCGTCGCTGTCGCTCTCTCTCTCTCTCTCTCTCTCTCTCTCTCTCTCTCTCTCTCTCTCTCCCTCCCGCATGCGGTGCACCACCACACCATAATCCGAGGTGCTCTTCGACACCAGCTCTAGCAGCAGCGAGCCAGGGTTGCGGTTGTGGTTTGGCGGCGTTTTTTGTTTGTTTTTATTTCGAAATTTTTTTTTGGCAGGTTGGACAGCGATTTCCACGGCTGACTTTATTTTTTTGCAGCTTCGTAAGAAAGTCTACCGCCGGCTTCGTAAACTGGAGGGAAAAATTGTTTCCCGCGCGACGTCGCCGCGAGACGGTCGTCGCTTAGGAGGGAGAGAGAGAGAGAGAGACAAAAAAACGTGGGCGCCTCTCGGAACGCCCCGCCTCGCCCTCGCCCCCACAGTGTGGCGGCCTGGCCAGGCCCTGGTAGTGGCGGGGCGGCGCCAGCACACTGATAACTCCGAGTGTGAGGCCTCTGTCTCTCTCGCACTCATGCGGCGTCCTGTGTGGGTGCGAGAGAGATCGACGCGCTCGGACTCAGCCTACAGGCGGCGGCGTCTCTCCGGGATGCTTGCCAAAGATGTCCCGTGGGGCGCCTCGCAAGCGCCACCCGCCACCGGGGCCGGGGCGGGGCGGGGCGGGGACGGGCACCGCTGCCGATGCGTAACTCAAATGAGATTTCCGCATCCAGCTCGTTGCCGTGTCTCCCTCCTCTCTGTGTGCACGCAGGCGCGCTCTCTCTCTCTCTCTCTCTCTCTCTCTCTCTCTCTCTCTCTCTCTCTCTCTCTCTCACACACACACACACAGTAATCACCCGATCGGGATCGACGCGGGGGTCTTATCGGTCATACGCTATGATCATGTGCAAACATTTGGCAAGGCCGCCATAGTACACTATATATGGTAGTGGGAATACAAACATGCACACACACGCACACATCAAATAATATACCGTCGCACACACGCCCAGACACACACACACACACACACACGCGCGCGCGCGCGCGCGCGCGCCAGGGAGGCAGGTGCGATATTAAACGTCAAGGCGGCTCCGTTCTCGGGAGTTTTATGCACACCCTTTTCATACCGCGGTGACGTCATGACTAGACGGATCCCCCTGGAAGACACCGCGGCCCGCGGCGGCCCGCCAGGCCTTAGCCAGGCCCGGCCCGAGGGCGTCCCTGGGGAACGCCCCGCCCCGCCCCGCCCCGCCCCGCCCCGCCCCGCCCCGCCCCGCCGGTGCAACATGCAAAGTCCCGTAATGGCTGTCGGACGGGCTGGACGCGTTCAAAGGGTGGCTCTCGATCGAGTCCCTGTCTCTCTCCGACGCCAGGCAAACGCCAGAGCGCGCGAGGGGGCGTGCGAGAGAGACAGAGCGAGACTGCGGTGCACGCCAAATTGCGGCACGTCTGTCGAATTATACTTCATCGCCCTGCCCGCCCGCCTGGCCGCCCGGCCGCCTTTTGAAGGCATATTTGCATTATTTGTCTGGGAACCTCATCAGCGAACGAACGCGTTGCCGCAAAGTGGGCGAGTGCCCGCAGTACGGAAACCGAAAGATGGAATGGTTTCGATTTCGAACCCGAATCCTGACTGGGCTGGTGACCAACGAACAGCTGGGCGGCCGAAATGAAGTGCTTGCTGAAACAGGGGAACGTAGTTTCGAAAAAAACGGAGCAAACATGCAGACTGACTAGAGGATGGTTTAAGGTTTAAGGTTTAAGAGTGGACGCTCAACGAACGGCTCTGTCACAGCACACCAAATCATACTCACACACGCGCACTAACACACACACACACACACCTCCAAGAGGCCGTGACGTCATGATACAGTCCGCAGTTTACGCGTCGAGGCGCACAAGACACGGTCCCCACGGCCCCCGCTGCCAACAAAGACAAGTCCCGGACACGACCGCTAGAGCGCCACTGCTGCCACTGCCGCACCACTTTGTTTGTCTTTGCCCCACAAGCCCCACTAGGCCCCCGCGGAGCCAGCCTGTCTGTCCGCCTGCCTGCCTGTCTGTCTGCCCGCACGCACGCTTCATTAGAAGCGCGGCGAATTGCCCCGGCGAATCGCAAGAGCGAGGACCCCATCAAGGATTTGCGCGGGAAAAAGGAAGGGCTGATTGATTTTCCAGGACCATTAACCTTTTTAATGGGATCGAGAGAGAAGGGCAGCTGTCCCCGCAAGACCACCGCCTCCCCACACTGTCACCGTGTCGCCCCCAAGAACAAAGAGGCTCACTGAGGGCCCTCATGCACGGAGTATTTCCTGCCTCGGCATCCCCAGCAGCCCCTCGGGGGGCCCTCTGGCCGGTCTGCCGCACGCCCTGCCCACGCCCCCCTCGGGGCGCTGCCTTGGCTCGGCCACGGCGCGGCCAGCCCGATGTTCGGCGACGCTTTCTAAATGGGCCCCCGCAGCCCCGTGCTGGGGCGGGGACGTGTGTGACGACCCCGAGCCCCTCTTGGGGCACTTTGGGGCAGCCCGGCCTCCAGCGTGCTTCCAGCGCGCCTCCGGGCTCCCAGTGTAGGAGCGACTATCATCGCCCGGGTTAGTTCCCCAATGTAATCCCGTTGAGGAGCTAACAGGGCTAACAGCGTCAGCCGGCTTGGTTAGCTAGCGGTGGCGCAATTTGGTCGCTCACTTTGCGAGTTTCCTTTTCAATTTATCTTTTTCGGTTCCCTCTGCTTCATAACGCCGGTGCTCGGGGTGTATGTCGTTTGTCCGACCTTCTTTTGTCCGACCTGTCCAAATTTCACTTGGGAAAGCCACTCCTAAAATGTAAAGAATTGCTGGGAGTCGAACCCTAGCCCCTGCGCGTGATCATGATTTCCTCGGGATGCCACAGTGTGAAGCCAGTCGTGGGACTTGGGACTTGCGACACACTTTTCTGAAACAGCGGCGGCTGAGCGCGCAGAGGCGTTGATCCGCTACTCCAGGGGCTGGGGTTCGACTCCCTGCAATCCTTTACATTTTAGGAGTAGCTTTCCCGGTGCGGTTTGGGCCCGCTGCGCCACTCGGCTTACTCGGCGAGCCACGGTGGCCGAAGATGTTGAGATCTTTGAATCCTATACTCGGATCGAGCGATCGAATACTAGCTACCCGCTCTTTTTGTCTGACTATACGGTTCGGACCAGCGGCTTCAAATGCTCCCCTTCGCACATCGGCACCCATGGGCCGTGGTGGCCGAGAGCGCAGAGGCGTCGGGTCCCGACTGCGGGGTCCGGGGTTCGATACCCAGCACCGTAAAGAATATTTTGACCAAGCTTGCATCGCAAGAAGGCGGTTCAAGTATACAAAATCGGCCGGCGTTCAGTGTGCCTCTCATAGCCCAGTGGTTCCGCTGCTGGGCAGGGTGACGCAGACTCCTGATTACCAGTAGCATGGCCCCTGAGTGGGAAGGGGGCCGGGAACGAAACCCGACTACTGGGAAAGGTGGCAGCCTGGCCTACTATGAGAGGACTCCTCCACATCACAGATGACGCGACCAATGACGGGGCCACTGCGGTTTAACTCTGAGGTTGCTCCTGTGATGAGATGGGGGAACCACTGGCTCACCAAGCCAGCGGGGAAGAGGGCCGGTTCGCCGGGGTGCCCTCTTTCGCTGAAATTTTCTTTATAGTGTTCATTTTACTTCTGTTACTCTGAATACATTTTGTGTTAAAATGTACAAATTTGGATTGTTCTGCATCCAGTCTTGATTGACATAGAGAGTGAGCCGCGGGTGTTTAGATCAATTGAGCGCCGCCGAGTTGCTCTCTAGCCCAGTGGTTCTCAACCTTAGGGTCGCGACCCCAAGTGGGGTCGCGAAAAAATTTTAAGGGGTCGCGGCGAGGTAGCTGGGGTCGTGTTTTGGGCCGATTTTAAGCAGCCACTGCGTCTGATCCGAGGCGGGCATTTTGCTCCCTCAACGGGCAATTGGTCTTTGGACCTTCCTTTAGCATGCCTCTGTTACGGAGTGCGATTATCAGTTTTAGTTTGGGAGCAGTATTGTCTCAAAGTTGGCCAAAACGCTCAGAAATGTCTTTAAAAAATCATGTTTTGGGTCGATTTTAAGCAGCCACTGCGTCTGATCCAAGGCGGGCATTTTGCTCCCTCAACGGGCAATTGGTCTTTGGACCTTCCTTTAGCATGCCTCTGTTACGGAATGCGATTATCAGTCTTAGTTTGGGAGCAGTATTGTCTCAAAGTTGGCCAAAACGCTCAGAAATGTCTTTAAAAAATCATGTTTTGGGTCGATTTTAAGCAGCCACTGCGTCTGATCCGAGGCGGGCATTTTGCTCCCTCAACGGGCAATTGGTCTTTGGACCTTCTTTTAGCATGCCTTTTTTACGGAGTGTGATTATCAGTCTTAGTTTGGGAGCAGTATTGTCTCAAAGTTGGCCGAAACGCTCAGAAATGTCTTTGAAAAATCGTTGTGCCTGTTTTGGTCAACTTTGAGACAATACTGCTCCCAAACTAAGACTGATAATCGCATTCCGTAACAGAGGCATGCTAAAGGAAGGTCCAAGGAACAATTGCCCGTTGAGGGAGCAAAATGCCCGCCTTGAATCAGACGCAGTGGCTGCTTAAAATCGACCCAAAACATGATTTTTTAAAGACATTTCTGAGCGTTTTGGCCAACTTTGAGACAATACTGCTCCCAAACTAAGACTGATAATCGCACTCCGTAACAGAGGCATGCTAAAGGAAGGTCCAAAGACCAATTGCCCGTTGAGGGAGCAAAATGCCCGCCTTGGATCAGACGCAGTGGCTGCTTAAAATCGACCCAAAACATGATTTTTTAAAGACATTTCTGAGCGTTTTGGCCAACTTTGAGACAATACTGCTCCCAAACTAAGACTGATAATCGCATTCCGTAACAGAGGCATGCTAAAGGAAGGTCCAAAGACCAATTGCCCGTTGAGGGAGCAAAATGCCCGCCTTGAATCAGACGCAGTGGCTGCTTAAAATCGACCCAAAACATGATTTTTTAAAGACATTTCTGAGCGTTTTGGCCAACTTTGAGACAATACTGCTCCCAAACTAAGACTGATAATCGCACTCCGTAACAGAGGCATGCTAAAGGAAGGTCCAAAGACCAATTGCCCGTTGAGGGAGCAAAATGCCCGCCTCGGATCAGACGCAGTGGCATGTTAAAGGAGGGGTCCCGTGGGGTCGCGAAACTTTTCCTGGGGGTCGCGGAAATTTTTGGCTACAAATTTGGGGTCGCGAGCCGCGAAAGGTTGAGAACCGCTGCTCTAGCCGCAGCCTGACCGCCTGGCGGTGTAAGTGGGTCGGACAAAACGGAGGTCGGACAAAATTTTCAGCCGATTCACGGGCAAGTGAAATTTGGACAGGTCGGACACATGAAGGTCGGACAAACGATGAGCACCGCTCGAAGCGGGACCGCGAACGACACGCCCACTCGGCCGCACAAGCGCACACACTGGCAGTCGCCTTCCATCACACGTACGCGCTCACACTCACACACTCACGCGAGGCTCGCGTTTAGTGGATATTCTCTGGCGAGGAGGCCCCCAGGCCCCAGGCCTCTCTCCTCGTCCTGCGAGACGGTAAAAGGGTCGGACAGGGCGGGGCGCGGGGCGGGGCGGGTGGGCGGGGCGGCGGCGGGGCTGCCCCGGTGCCCCGTACACCTGTCCGAGACGTGTCGCTTAACCGACCTCTCCCTTCTCGCTGAGCCGGAATGGAGGAGGGCTGCGCCATGGCTGCGCGCTGCACCGCAACAACAACAATCTCCAATCTACGAGAGCACTCCTCTTCGTCCCCGCCTCCTTGTTGTTGTTGTTGTTGTTGTTGTTCTTATCGCGGCATCGCCAATAGGCCAGCTAACTCAACAACAACACGGCCCGGATCGAGTGGATCAGACCGCGCCATTTCGTGGCCCTGTTGGCGCTGAGCAAACAGATGAGGAATGTTGGCGGCGGCGCTCTCAGGGATGATTAGGCACGTGTCTTTGTTCTGGGGTTCGATACCGCCGCGGCGGGTAGTTTTTTTCCTCTGTCTCGGTGGCGCCCTGAGAGGGTGCCAAGAAACTCCGTGAAACATTCACCCCGTGGGACGAGGCGAGGCGGCCAGGCGGCCGGGCGGGGAGCGGGCCTCCTTAAACGATCAAGAAGAGTACTTCCTTTTTATTACTTCTAAAAAATGCATGCGTCCCGGCATGCGCGCTCGCAGGCCGGCCCCACCCCACAGTGGGCCAGAAGACCGGTGGAGGCGGACGAAACTCAAGACGCGTTTTGAACTCCAGGGTCGCTACCGAACGAGTGACCCCACCAATGGATTCCTCGTTCGGAGAGTAGTCCATTGGTGGGGTGGGTCACACGTTTGGTTCGAGTCTTGTTTAGAGACCCAGGAGCTCAAAATGCGTCTGGAGTTTCGGCCGCCGCCACCGGTCTTCTGGCCCACCGTGCTGCGGCCGTGCTGCCGTTCTCAAGAACGCACCGCGCGGGGCGCTAATGCGAACGGCGGGGCTGCTTGCTCCATTATTAAGAAGGATCCGGCGGGAGTGGCTGTTCGAACCACAATGGCGTTTCTAGTTTCTGGTGGCGTGCCCGCAGGTGGTGCTGTTCCCGGACGAGGCCTGGGCGAGGAACGCCACCTCCTCGTACTGGACGCTGGCGCCCGTCTGGTGGAGCCCCAACCGCTGCGTCGTCGTCGAGGTGTCCGGGACCAGAAGGTGAGTTTAGCAGCTAGAAGCGGCAACGGCGCACAGTGGGCCGGAAGATCGGTGGAGGCGGCCAAAACTCTAAACGCGTTTTGAGCTCCAGAGTCGCTAAATGGGACTTGAACCGAGCGTGTGACCCCACCAATGGATTGCTCTCCGAACGAGGAATCCATTGGTGGAGTCACACGTTCGGTTCGAGTCCCATTGCAGCCTAGTCTGCAGCTCAAAACACGTCTGGAGTTTTGGCCGCCTTCGCCGGTGGCGGTGCGCTGCGCCCGCCCCGTTGACACCCTCCTGCTGACGGGAGCCCCATCTCGCGGGCCAATCCGCCGAGGTGCGTGGCACTTTGTATTCGGGGCGGCCCGGCCGGAACGAACACGGAACGAACACGGAGGCAAGGGGGCATGGGCCGCATGGGGCACCCAGCTAGTGGAAAGCCGGAGCAGGCGCCTCCCCGCCACACCTCCCATCCCACCTGCCGCCAATTCAGACAATAATACAGCAAATCGGAGGTCCACCTTCATCATTCCGCGGAACGGCCCGGAATTCAGAAAGAGTTCGCGCCCGCGGCGATTCGCGCGTCGAAGTGAAGGGTGAGCTGCTGTGCGCCCATGTGTGAGGTTCAGGTTCGAATCCCCCCCTTTTTCTTTATTTTTTTTCCCCTTTTCGGGGTGGAAATTCCGGGGGCTGTAAAGGGTTGCCTACCTTCTGGGCTTCTGCTTCCCCGGCCCCACCGTTTGGCTGGCTGCCTGGCTGTCTGGCATTCCGAACCATCAATCACAGCCAGGCAGCCAGAGCCATCCAGGCAGCCAGGCAGGCAGGCAGGCATCTCGAGGATTGGCAGATCTTCGCGTCCGCTTCGGCTCAACCGCGCGTTGTCGTGATTCCGTTCCCTCCGCGAGGCTAGGCAGGCCAGGCGGGCTGTCTGGCCGCTCCATGCAGCGGGATTACCCTAACTGAACAGAACAAGGCTCCACGCTGCAAGGCCCTGTCGATGCTCTAGTCCGGCTCAAGCGCCCTTCTCTTTTTATCGCCCTCCCTCGCCCTGCTCCCTCCCCCGGCTTTACGGACTGAATATTGATTTGATCCGTGTTAACAGAGAGAGGCTGGCCGTGCAGGCCGTGCAGGCCGTGCAGGCCGAGGGCACGTCGCTGCCTTGTACCAAATTCCGCTCGCGGATAACCGCCCTGCCAGGCCTTGCCAGGTTGCCACTCCGCACACGGACCTCTGCGCCCGCGCCTCGTCCCCGGGGTGCGCGGGCCAGGTGTCCACACACGGAGGGTGGCAACCCTACAAACTGGAGCACCACCGGGCACCGCCCCTACCGTAGAGTTGCCGCCAAAAGACTTGGCAAGTACATCGAAACTCACTTCCAAAGTTGTTACCTCGAAAGGGTTGAGTGGGCCGGCCCGGCCGGGCGGCAGCGCGGCGGCAGCGCGGCGGCGGGGGTGTCGAGGCGAGGTGGGGGTTGCTGCTGACGAGACACGGGACGCGGACCGACCCGAAAACCGAACGCCGCCGCTGGGATTCGAACCCGAACCTGATGAACCGGTGCCAGCAGCGCTGAGCGCCTCGGCGTCGGCGCCCCTGTGGTGGGGAGGGCGGGCCGTGCCGCTGGGCTCGAGAGCTGGCCGGGTTGCCTACCCGACGGGCGTTCGCGGCGCTCGGAGCGACGGACAGACGCACGAGGGGTGCCTACACTGAAAAAACGCGTTTCTGTCTGTCTGTCTGTCTGTCTGTCTGTCTGGCCGTCCGTCCGTCCTTCCGCCCGTCCCACTTTGCTTGCAAATGCAGGTGATCCTCATTTAGCGCTTCCTCGGCGTGCCGGAGGCGATTCCTTCGCATTCCGATGGAAAGCAATGGATGACGTCACGGGGGCGGCCGCCCGTCTGGTCCTAGGTTCGAATCCCCGCGCCGGCGAGGCGGACACGTCCACAGCGATAATTATTCCCGGCGAGATTACCGCTCGCAGTAAAACGGCACGATGAATAATACGGGAAAAAAGAGGGCGAAAAAAAGAAAAACAGAAACGAACGAAATGATTTAATAAAAATATGGACATGATCCACGGGATAATTAGCCGGCCGTTTAAACGACGCGTGGAGTCTATGTAGCTTGACCCACCTCAAAGTTGACCTACCTATATATTAATTAATAAAAATATTAATATAAATATTAGAATATAAATATGGGAATATAAATAGGAGTAATATAAATATTACCAAAAAAAGTTGACCCACCCCAGAGTTGACCTACCCTATATTTTTGACTTGACCGACGAAGCGCGACGGCTCGGGGCAGGGGAAGCGCGACGGCCTCGCGGCAGGGGAAGCGCGACGGCCCTCGCGGCAGGAGAACCGCGACAGTGTCGCGGCGGGGAAGCGCGACAGTGTCGCGGCAGGGGAAGCGCGGACAGTGTCCGGGTCGCGGCAGGGGAAGCGCGACGGCCTCGCGGCAGGGGAAGCGCGACAGTGTCGCGCAGGGGAGCGCGACAGTGTCGCGGCAGGGGAAGCGCGACAGTGTCGCGGCAGGGGAAGCGCGACGGCCGCGGCAGGGAAGCGCGACAGTGTCGCGGCAAAGGAAGCGCGACAGTTGTCGCGGGCAGGGGAAGCGCGACAGTGTCGCGGCAGGGGAAGCGCGACAGTGTCGCGGCAGGGAAGCGCGACGGCCTCGCGGCAGGGGAAGCGCGACAGTGTCGCGGCAAGGAAGCGCGACAGTGTCGCGGCAGGGGAAGCGCGACAGTGTCGCGGCAGGGGAAGCGCGACGGCCTCGCGGCAGGGGAAGCGCGACAGTGTCGCGGCAGGAAGCGCGACGTGTCGCGGCAGGGGAAGCGCGACAGTGTCGCGGCAGGGGAAGCGCGACGGCCTCGGGCAAGGGAAGCGCGACAGTGTCGCGGCAAAGGAAGCGCGACAGTGTCGCGGCAGGGGAAAGCGCGACAGTGCGCGGCAGGGGAAGCGCGACCGGCCGCGCGGGGGAAGCGCCTCGCGGCGCCAGGGCCGCGGAAGTACGGTCTGGGGGAGGGGGGCGAAATTTTATGAAAAATTGTTGGGTTGCCTACCGTTAAGGGCAACACCCAATACGGTTTAGACTTCTCTAATAGTGTTCCAAAGCAGCAAACGAACAAGCTTAAAGCGAAAATGCACACAATTCTAGACTTTAACAAATTTTGCCATTTTTAGAGCTTAATCACACGCTTTATTGGTGGGCGAAGCGAGCCAAACGGCAAAATAATGGAGGAAATTAAGAAAACTGCGAGCGAGCGAGCAAGAAGCAAAAAATCAAAGAATTGCGACATTGCTATATTTTCTCTCTATTTCGAGCTCAAAATGGCACTTAGTGTCTGAAAGTGGTGAAGGGGGGAGGGCGATGCCAAACAGCGAGGCGTGCCAGCGTCAAAAGCGAGGCTGTGCCAGCGTCAAACGCGAGGCTGTGCCAGCGTCAAACAGCGAGGCTGTGCCAGCGTCAAACGCGAGGCTGTGCCAGCGTCAACCGAGGCTGTGCCAGCGTCAAACAGCGAGCAGGCGGTGCCAGCGTCAACAAGCGAGGCTGTGCCAGGCGTCAAACAGCGAGGCTGTGCCAGCGTCAAACAGCGAGGCGTGCCAGCGTCAAACAGCGAGGCTGTGCCAGCGTCAAACTGCGGGCTGTGCCAGCCGCACACCAGCGAGGCTGTGCCAGCGTCAAACAGCGAGGCTGTGCCAGCGTCAAACAGCGAGGCTTGCCAGCGTCAAACAGCGAGGCTGTGCCAGCGCAAACAGCGAGGCTGTGCCAGCCTCCCAAAAAGCGAGGCTGTGCCAGCCTCACACAGCAGGCTGTGCCGCGCAAACAGCGAGGCTGTGCCAGCGTCAAACAGCGAGGCTGTGCCACCTCAAACAGCGAGGCTGTGCCAGCTAAACAGCGAGGCTGTGCCAGCTCAACAGCGAGGCTGTGCCAGCTCAAACAGCGAGGCTGTGCCCGCGTCAAACAGCGAGGCGTGCCAGCCTCAAACAGCGAGGCTGTGCCAGCGTCAAACAGCGAGGCTGTGCCAGCGTCAAACAGCGAGGCTGTGCCAGCGTCAAACAGCGAGGCTGTGCCAGCTCAAACAGCGAGGCTGTGCCAGCCTCAACAGCGAGGCTTGCCAGCGTCAAACAGCGAGGCTGTGCCAGCGTCAAACAGCGAGGCTGTGCCAGCGTCAAACAGCGAGGCTGTGCCAGCGTCCAGCGAGGCTGTGCCAGCTCAAAAAGCGAGGCTGTGCCAGCTCAACAGCGAGGCTGTGCCAGCGTCAAACAGCGAGGCTGTGCCAGCTAAACAGCGAGGCTGTGCCAGCGTCAAACAGCGAGGCTGTGCCAGCGCAAACAGCGAGGCTGTGCCAGCTCAAACAGCGGGCTGTGCCAGCGTCAAACAGCGAGGCTGTGCCAGCCAAACAGCGAGGCTGTGCCAGCGTCAAACAGCGAGGCTGTGCCAGCTAAACAGCGAGGCTGTGCCAGCTCAAACAGCGAGGCTGTGCCAGCTCAAAAAGCGAGGCTGTGCCAGCTCAAACAGCGAGGCTGTGCCAGCGTCAAACAGCGAGGCTGTGCCAGCGTCAAACAGCGAGGCTGTG